CAACCATCCATCAATCCATCCATCCATCCATCCATCCATCCATCCATCCAACCAACCAACCAACCAAACAACCATCCATCCATCCATCCATCCAACAGACCAACCATCCATCCATCCATCCTATCCCTGCATCCATCCATCCATCCATCCATCCATCCAACCAACCAACCAACCATCCAACCATCCATCCATCCAACCGACCAACAGACCAACCATCCATCCATCCATCCATCCATCCAACCAACCAACCATCCAACCATCCATCCATCCATCCAACCAACCAACAGACCAACCATCCATTCATCCATCCATCCATCCTTCAATCCCTCCATCCCTCCATTCATCCAAGCAACCAACCAACTAACCAACAGACCAACCATCCATCCATCCATCCATCCATCCATCCAACCAACCAACCATCCATCCATCCAACCAACCAACCATCCATCAATCCATCCATCCATCCATCCATCCATCCATCCATCCAACCAACCAACCAACCAACCAACCAACCAACCATCCAACCATCCATCCATCCATCCATCCATCCATCCATCCAACAGACCAACAGACCAACCATCCATCCATCCATCCTATCCCTGCATCCATCCATCCATCCATCCATCCATCCATCCATCCATCCATCCATCCAACCAACCAACCAACCAACCATCCAACCATCCATCCATCCATCCATCCATCCAACCGACCAACAGACCAACCATCCATCCATCCATCCATCCATCCATCCATCCATCCATCCAACCAACCATCCAACCATCCATCCAACCAACCAACAACCAACCAACCCCATACACTTAAAACTAAAGTAGCAGCATAGCTGACATTTTAACGCTAGTCAGCTCATTTGAACAGTTTTGCTTAGTTTCAGCTTCAGCAATTAGTTTCTGAATTCAGCATATGATGCTTATTTCACAGTTCAGCTAAATGTAAAAATTAAACTGTTAAACTAGTCCTACTGAAATAACAGGTGTTTAGACATTTTAGCTGTCCAATTTTTTAAACAGTTTTCACAGATTTGTTTTCTGCTATTTAGGATTAGTTTTCTTGATTCTTCACTTACTTTTTGTGCTTTTTTTTTGCTTCTTTGTGCTTTTTGCTTTCACATCTTTCACTGCGTTCAGCTCATTTAACAGTTTAGCTTAGTTTCAGCTTACTTCAGCTATTCAACAACTTCAGCAATCCGTTTCTGAATTCGGCTTATGCTACTCATTTCACAGTTCAACTAAATATAAAAATTAAACTGTTAAACTAGTCCTACTCAAACAACAAGTGTTTAGACCTTTTTGCTGTCCAGATTTTTAAATAATGTTCAGATTTCAGTTTTCTGCTGTTTAGGATTGATTTGTCCGGTCTTCACTTTTTGTGCTTTATTTACATTTTGGTGCTTTTTGCTTCTAAATCTTTCAAAACATTCAGCTCGTTTGAACAGTTTTGCTTAGTTTCAGCTTCAGCAATTAGTTTCTGAATTCAGCATATGATGCTAATTTCACAGTTCAGCTAAATGTAAAAATTAAACTGTTTAACTAGTCCTACTAAAATAACAGGTGTTTAGACATTTTACCTGTACAATTCTTTTAGACAGTGTTCACAGATTTGAGTTTTCTGCTATTTAGAATTAGTTTTTTTGATTCTTCACTTATTTTTTGTGCTTTTTTTTGCTTCTTTGTGCTTTTTGCTTTCACATCTTTCACTACGTTCAGCTCATTTAACAGTTTAGCTTAGTTTCAGCTTACTTCAGCTATTCAACAACTTCAGCAATCCGTTTCTGAATTTGGCTTATGCTACTCATTTCACAGTTCAACTAAAAATTAAACTGTTAAACTAGTCCTACTCAAACAACAAGTGTTTAGACCTTTTTGCTGTCCAGATTTTTAAATAATGTTCAGATTTCAGTTTTCTGCTGTTTAGGATTGATTTGTCCGGTCTTCACTTTTTGTGCTTTATTTACATTTTGGTGCTTTTTGCTTCTAAATCTTTCAAAACATTCAGCTCATTTTAACAATTTTGCTTAGTTTCAGCTTCAGCAATTAGTTTCTGAATTCAGCATTTGATGCTAATTTCACAGTTCAGCTAAATGTAAAAATTAAACTGTTGAACTAGTCCTACTAAAATAACAGGTGTTTAGACATTTTACCTGTCCAATTTTTTTAGACAGTGTTCACAGATTTGAGTTTTCTGCTATTTAGAATTAGTTTTCTTGATTCTTCACTTACTTTTTGTGCTTTTTTGCTTCTTTGTGCTTTTTGCTTTCACATCTTTCACTACATTCAGCTCATTTAACAGTTTAGCTTAGTTTCAGCTTACTTCAGCTATTCAACAACTTCAGCAATCAGTTACCAAATTTAGCATATACTGCTAATTTCACAGTTCAGCTAAATGTAAAAATTAAACTGTTAAACTAGTCCTACTGAAATAACAGGTGTTTACACATTTTAGCTGTCCAATTTTTTTAAACAGTGTTCACAGATTTGAGTTTTCTGCTATTTAGGATTAGTTTTCTTGATTCTTCACTTACTTTTTGTGCTTTTTTGCTTCTTTGTGCTTTTTGCTTTCACATCTTTCACTACATTCAGCTCATTTAACAGTTTAGCTTAGTTTCAGCTTACTTCAGCTATTCAACAACTTCAGCAATCAGTTAGCAAATTTAGCATATACTGCTAATTTCACAGTTCAGCTAAATGTAAAGATTAAACTGTTAAACTTGTCCAACTGATATAACAGGTGTTTAGACATTTAAGCTGTCCAGATTTTTATACAATGTTCACAGATTAAAGTTTTTTTTTTTTTTTTTTGCTATTTAGCATTATTTTTCTCTATTCTTCACTTACTTTTTGTGCTTTATTTGCTTGTTGGTGCTTTTTGCTTCTACATCTTTCAAGACATTCAGCTCATTTGGACAGTTTTGCTTTGTTTCAGCTTCAGTTACGCTGTTCAGCAGCTTCAGTTCAGCTGTTCAGCAGCTTCAGCTTACAGTTTCAGCTATCCAGCATTCAAACAGCATTTGTGCAATAAATGCAATTTTTCTAGTTAAATATAAATTACTGAAATTTCATGATTTAAAAGACTGGAAAATGTTACAAACCATGTATAAAGCCAATTTAGGTACTCTGCCAACAAACATTCAGGGGATGTTTGAAAAGAGAACTAGTAATTACATGCTGGAAGAAACAGATGTTTTTATAAAACCTAGATTTAGAACTAAAATTAAGGAATGGAATATATCTGTAAATGGTGTTAAATTATGGAATAACCTTAAAAGAGAAATAAAAAAACTGTCCATTAATATATTCAAAAAATGTACCAAATTCAGTGTACTAAATATTTATGAAAATGTAAATTAAATCAGTGGTCATGATCGCACTGGAATTTAAAACAGGAAAACGTTTAAAATGAATCTGTGTCTGACAAATGGAAATCGTATATAAATTGATTATTTCTTCTGGAAAAGGGGGCAGAAATTATAAGATGTTTTTCTTGATTCTGCTCCTTTTCGTTCAAATTTGATTTTTGTTATGTATTCATTGTTTATATGTTTTATTTGTTTTTATTTTGAATGAAATAAAAAAAGGAAAAAAAATCACTGAGTGAATTGCCAGTTCTAGAGAAAGCATCAGACCAGCCTTCTTTAGCATATCTCTTTATCAAAGATTTTGACACGTTGTCAAAACCTTTTTGCGCCTACAAAGCTGAGACAGCAAACAGTTCTTGCAGAACAAAGCTGATATTGTTCAACTCCTTAAGAGTTATTCCTGAGACGCAAGCTGATTCCAACCAGGCCCCCACAATGCAGCTCTGAAATTGAGTCAAACAGCTAGGTTGCTACCTCCGTCAGCTTAGCTCCCACCTCCGCATTAGCTTTGGGTTAGCTTTAGGTTAGCTTGTAGCTAGTTCGACCGGGTGTCATCAGTTGATCCCAGCCTTACAGCCCCACCCTCAGCTCCACCTCTCTTCCCTTTTGTGGAATTGTCTGGGCTTGACGGAACCTGTGACACGGTCAAAATGGCGGGGGTGGCCACCTCCCATTTTAGCAGAAAAACTTGTTATTAGAGTCTATGGAAACCCATTGTCCATATATTTATGTCGATGATTCCAACCTGTATTGCCTGGTGACATCTTTTGGACTGGAGAAGTCGGTGCTTACGGTCTATCTACCGGACCTGGGTGCCCCGAGGTCATCCGACCTCTCTGACCTCCAGATCCATGACGAGGGTCATCAAAAGGGTGAGGTAGAACACAGAGAGATTGTGTCTGAATGTGCTTCTGAAGATAACACCATAGTTTAGAGAAAACCAAATTATTTTTCATCCAGAGACATCGCTTTCCGAGATTCGGAAGTTCTGACTAACACCACATTTACACAGGTTCCTACATCACCTTTAGCTCCATCCATTCACAGTAAATGCTTAGTTCACTTGTCGTGTTTTAATTGTTTCTAAAATAAATTCTTACAATTATAAACCTGACTTTTCTGAATCAAAACAAAGTGTGTATAATTACTTAATAAAGCAAAAATCCTAGAATCTTCTGATATTTACAATAATGATCAAGCAAGGTCATATTGTACATTTATACAGAATATCAAATAAACATTTGCCTCTGCAACACAGTAATTCACCAGAAGAGATCAAATATGTGAGAGAGATGCCACAATGACTAACAGTGACTGCTATAGGTGCTTCAAGGACCTTCAAAATAAAGTTTCAGACCTTCAAATGTAGCTTTGACCTGCGTAAAGTCTATATTTGTTGCTATAAATATAACTTGCTGGTGAAGTTGTCCTTAAGAAGAAAATTGCAATGCTGAATAAGTTTTTTTGTACTATAAAAAAGTAAAGTAATAATGGCAGGGTCGTTTTGACATTGCACAAAGTAAACATCTTTAAATTACTCCCAGAATGAGGCAGAATGAGGTCTCTTAGATTCTTTTTCTAAACCCTCTTTCTTTAGAAAGCTGACCGGCATGAAGAAAAACAAATCTCACTCTTGCCAAGACTATTTTATTGTTCTGAATGAAACACAATATTTAATTGTGGCTACATGGAATATACAAAAAGATGAATTTTGTCCCTGTGAGACAGACTCACTCCTTTGTCACAGAATCAGTAAATGAGCAGATTGAAAAGGCTGATAGAGTTAAAAGAGAAAGTTTTATCAGATTTACTCTGCAAAAACAATTGGTCCTCAAATTAATAGTTTAGGTATTTTTTTATATTAAGCAAATTAAAATATTGTCAAAACTATAGCCTAGAACTGAAATGTCATGACAAGATGTAGTTTGCTGATTGTATGTAATTTAATAGTTTTAGAGTAAAGTTTAAAGTATGGACTAGGTTTGCAAATCAGCATCTAGAAAACCTCTGCACTAAATGGTTGCATTGCCCTTACATGTAACATCGTCTTTTGTGCTGTCCTTGTACAAAAAGCCCAAACTAAACTAAGAAAGGGATTTAATTGCTTCGACATGCTAAATTTTGGACACTTATGCAGCGGCTTTTATAGGGATACTGAGAAGTTCCTTTAATCTTTCAAAATAAGAGTCTCACCCCGGGTTTCCACGGGAGCCGTCAGCAGCACGTTACTGCAGCAGCACGTCTTGCTCGCGTAAACTGCTGCTTGGCCCTTCCCACGAGACGCGAAGCAGCAGGGGAGCAGCTGTCACCGACAGAGCACGAAGTCACACGAGTGACTTCATCAGTAAACACAACAACAAGCAGGAGAAAATTACAACATGGTTTGTGTTTTATGTTCTGTCCGTTTTATAATCGCCAATACGGACCTGAAACACAAAGGAGACCGGTTGCTAGGTGATAACTTCTCACGGGGACGCACAATTAGTAACATTTTTTAAAGTAAAGCAACCGGAAGGCAGCACGTTCTTTATTCTGAAAATCTCTGTAGCTTCTCTCCGTTTCCGCGTCCGATTTCCTGTCTTTCCTTCCCCAAAAATGTCTAACTTGACCCGTTTCAGAGGCGTCGCGCGTAGAAAATAGAACCGGCGCGTAAAGGCCGCGACATGCTGCTCCTGAGACGCGGCCGACTCGCGCTGCTGACGGCTGCCGACGGCTCCAGTGGAAAAGGTTCTGTTGACCACAGCGGTTCCTATCAGCAGCTATGACGTGCTGCTGCAGTAACGTGCTGCTGACGGCTCCCGTGGAAAGCCGGGGTCAAACATACCTGAAAACATGTAACGTTTATCAAAAAAGTCTGAGTTTTATCAAACGACTTTACTAACAAACAATTTTCATAAGCTTTAAAGGGCAAGTCAACCCCTACCAGAGTCTAACTCCATCTTCACAGAGGGATACAATCAGGGGAACAGGTGACAGGTGTGAGGAGTGAGGCCTAGAGGGAGGACAGGTGAAATCAATTAACTAAATGTGAAGGGAAAACAACATAACCTATAAAAACAACTAAACTAATGGTTCGCTGGAGTTTTTGACAATTAAAATTGCTCCCACATATTGAAAGTTAAACACATCTCTTTTAACAACGGTAGTTTCTGCTTCAGCCCTCTCCCCCCTCCCCCTGCGCAGCGGCCGCAAACTCACTGATGCGCCCGCAGCCTCTCAGAGTTCCTGCTGCTCTAAACATTAAAATAATTATTTCATTTTCTGTTCCTCACTTCTGATTACCTTCAATGGTGTCTGTTTGTTGCAACCACCAGGTACAAAAACTAACTTGTTTTTATTTGACTATTTTTCTGTCCTGTCTGTTTATTATCTTCCTGCATCTCCTCTCAATCCTAAAGAAAAACTGCTACCTGGGTTCATATATATTCACCTTATGAGTTACCTTTGAACTGCAGTTCTAAAAGAACTACCGACCGCAGAAACAGCGGAGTGCGGCTGCTCGCCGGCCACATCAGTTAGGTGCGTCACCGAGGACAAAACGGGTGATGCGCCCCGATCCACAGCAGTGAAAAGCATCAGCCACAAATAAAAGAGTAAAATACAGAAAATATAAAAGGAAATGAGCCAACATAAACGATCGCGTGTTAAATTAGTTTTTGAGGTGGCGACACCTGATTTGATAATGTTACTGTGGCCGTGCTCAGGAAGCAGATGTGTGGAGCGCGTCAACAATCAGAGCTTTGCATGCACAAGCTGGTTAAGTTTAGGATGGGGGTGAGGGGAAGGTTAAATTGCAAGAGGGTAAACGTCACAATTTGGTTAAATGTCCGTTTTACGGCGGGTGTCAGTACCGACGCTCTGGCACAGCGCGTTGCCTCCCGACGCGCAGGAGCTTGTCACCTGCTGACAGCAGGCTGCTGTCTTTTCCGAGGGCTGCATCTTGCCGGTCATTATCACGTGACAGCGACTAGTCGATGACAGGCATAAAAAGTCACTATAGAGCGGTGAAGTCGACTAATGACTAGTTCATACAACCCCTGCTACTGCTCCCCAGTGTTCTGCAGCATAATCAGCACGTTCTCTTTGGACTTGATACCAAATTTTCGCCTCCTCTTCGTCTCCGCACAGTTAAAGTTACCCTCGCGGTCTATCACTGGCAAATCAAAAGTGAGACGGATATGACACAACCGCCCCCCGTACTTGCTTGTTACCACATTCCACCCGGCCACAATAAAAAGCCGGCCATTATTCACCTCCGCCGACTCCGACACCGGCAGTTAATTAAATACAGGCCAATATTAGAGGATTTACGGTAATTAACAAGTGGGGAAGGACACAAACACTAAGGGGAACTAATAAAATGAATAGCTGAACCCATAGAAAATAAAACTACAGAGGGGTGACTAGGGGAGACCTGAGAAGCTGGGAAACACCAGGAGACACATGAGGAGAACGCAGAGGACAAACAGGAGGGGGCTGGAGACCAAGGGGACACAGAACATGACATTCTTTGTTTGTGACTCTTATGGTGAGGGATTAAACACACTCCATGGGTTTTTTTTTGTTTATAGGGCTTTAAAATGCCTCGTTTCCTGTGAACACATTTTTACTTGACATTTTCCACTTCATCACTTACTCTTTTTTTCGTTAGCATGGCACTGATCCCCCTAGTTCTAAATGAATATAAACTAGAGCCCAACAGATTGTTACATTTTATGCTCAAAGCAGAAAACAAGCAAAAAGCAGGGACCGTGACTAAGTTGTGAAGCAGATCATCAAATGCAACTCTTTTTCTTGGGGTTCACTTAGTGGCCTGTTTTCTGATAAATGTTGACATCAGCTGAGGAGGTGTTGAGGAAATCTCTGCTGTTATTGACGGCCAAGGCACCGCTGCCATTCACATCAAGCCCCATGAGCTTCTTTTCATTTTTATAGCGGATGCCAAATAGACTGCAGATGTTGTTCAGCAGGAGGTCGACAACCTCTTCCTCTTCAGACGGCTGGCGAGAAAAGAAAGATTCAAAGTGACTGTCAGGAGAATAAATAACACTGGAGCTGCCAACGCCAGAGCACAAACGAACTGAAGAGCTCATTTGATAGTTCACTCCAATTTATTGGTAATGGCTTTGGTTTTTAAGGCAATGTGGAAAAACCGACTGTTGAAATCCTGCTTCAGAATGACTCGTTTTGCTTTTAGATTATGCTCACAGATAATTAGGGCAAGTATGAGATACAATATTCATGATCAAATCTGACCAGCTGAACCAGCTGCTCTGACACCCCTGTGTAAATGGCTAATTGTGATTTTTCTACCTGGTCAATAAGGCCACAAATGAACAGAACTGTGGGCTTTCAATGGGAGACAAGTTGTTTCCATCCCCACGGGTAGTTCATCAAACGTGATTTGAGAAAGTTTTAAATTTTAAAAGTCATAAAGACCCCGAAAGGCCGAAACAAGCATTGATAATGTGCTTAAGAAAAAATAAACATAGCAGAAAATCACAGTTTTTATATTAATGCTGAGTTAGAAAAAGATTCATCCTCTTAAGAAATGTTTTTAGCCTTCAGTGTTGCAGCCTGTAGGGAAATCGGTTGTGGTTTAGGCTCTGCTTGATGCAGCTTCTGCACATTTCATGCTGCTGACCCAAGACTGTGTTCTTTATTGATCTTCCTGTTCTCCTGTGTGCATCACCAATGAACCCCAATAGTTGTTAGAAATGATAAATGCACTGGCAGCATAATGCTGTTGGAACAAACCAAATAGCTTTTGTTGGTCTTGTTGTAGTTTGAGGTATTTTATTTGTTGTTTCTTTAGCTTGAGTTGGGGAAAAAACTTGTTTTCTCATCTGTGGTGCAGGGAAAGAGAGAAGAAAGAGATTGGTTGGAGTTTGATTAAAAGATTTACTCTTTTCTGTCTTATAGAAAAATCTAATTTACAAACAAAAAGCTAACAAAACAACAATTAAAAATCAAATCTTGGTGTGAAATTCAAAGGGCCAGCCTCTAACTCTTCCAGAGCTGTTCCCAGGACAGCTGTGGCATTCAAGCTCTTCACTGAGGTCTAGTCCACACGTAGCCGTTTTTTTAAACGAATATCCGCCCCTCCAAAAACTTGCATCCACACCACCTCGTTTAAAAAAAAAACTCTGTCCACACGTACCCGGATAAATACGTTGTTAAGGACATGCCAGACCTGTAGGCGGCAGTACTTCCCCCGTTCTTAACCTCGTCCTTCGTCTGTGGTCTTCCGCAAGGAGCAGTAATTCCGCTTGCAACAACAAAAAAGCAAAAAGCGCTTGGACAATTGACAAAGTGAGCGCAGCTCTGAGGGCTTCCATGCTGTCGGCTAGTGTAAACACAGGTCGCACACGTGATGTCAGCATTTTTTGTCGCGGAAAGTGACGTTGCGGACCTTAAAACTCCGGTTTTGTCTGTCCACACGCAGACACCCAAAACGGAGAAAACGCAGATCTTCACTTTGGCCGGAGTTTTTAAAAAGATCCGTTTTCGTGTGAAAAAACTCTGTTTTCGTGTGGATGACAGGCCAAAACGTAGAAAAATATCTACGTTTTGGCAGATCCCCGGCTACGTGTGGACAGGGCCTGAGTCTTTGGTCCGCAACAGAAGGTCTCCCTTTGGGAAATGTCCCAAACTTGGTCTTTGGAAAGAGTCCAGAAGGCATCTGTTATGGCTATCAGTCTGGCCAGTGGGATCCAGGAGCCAGGATCACCCAGCCCCGGTGATCAGCCTGACACCGCCCCTCCTCCTCCTCTCTTCCAGGCTGCTGAGGAGCACAGCTGAGCCGATTCTTGCTGATTACCAACACCTGGATAAAAAGGCTGTGCCTTCAGCAATCTGGGAGGCAGCAGTGCAGGGGTTCTGCTGTCCTCCAGGTCTCGTTGTGGTTTAACCCCTTTGTTTCGATGAGATTTAACTTTACAGTTTTAACTCTTAGTGATGAGCTTTTTAAGGTTAAAGCTCTTGGATGATCCAGTGGGATCTTGTGATGTTTGTGTTAAAGGTTAACTTTGTTTGTTGCAATTTTATTGACTTTTACAATAAGTTTTAACCAGGTGTTTTAATGTTGATAATTCATCTTGTGATGTTAACCTTTTTCAGAGTTTTTTTTTGATAGTTTTGCATTATCTTTAAAATGCTAGCCATCAGTTTGCTCATTTTTAGAACCTTTTATTACAAATAAAACTATTTTAAATTCCACTGTCACATTTCTTATGTTACCCCCTCCTTCACATTTTAACAACACATGTCGGGGACGTAACAGCATCCTTACCAGAAGTCCAAACCACTTGCTTTGGCTCCTTTTGACGAGGAGGAACAACGACTCTATTCTCAGCTTCTCAACCTTTATCTGAGGGGGAGATCAGCCACTCTGCAGAGGAAGCTAATTTCTGCCGCCTGTGTAGATCTTACAGCTCATGAACACAGGTGAGAGAAGAAAGTTTGCCCAATTGGTACATCTTCAGCCACACCTCTTAGCTAACTCATTGGTACTTTGTAAATAATCTCCCGCTCCATTTTACCATCAGTTGTAAGATACTTAAGCTCCTCTGCAAGGGCCAGATGCTCCTTCCCTAAATGGAGTAAGCAATGGATGCAGTTTGGACCTTCCCAAACAGGAGACTGTTTATTTCTCATCAAGAAATTCAGCAAGCTACCTCAACTGGCTGTGGAAGATCAGCGGATCTAGTCCAAGCGTCTTCCAAATTACCAGATACCCTGTGGAGAAAACTCATTTTGGCCACTTGTATCGCTACCCAAAGCTCGTGATCATAGATGCCTTCCAGCTCAGCTCTCTCTTCACCGCAGCAGACGATACAATGCCCATCACACTTTAGAGGTTTCTTTTAGCTTCAAGTTGGAGATCATGGTCCAGTAAATCCAAAGGGTCCACATAATATGCAGCAGACACCTGATCCTTAGGCCACCTAAACAGATCCCCTCAACACCTTGGCGGCACCTAGAAATTCTGTCCATAAAAGTTATGAACAGAATCGATGACAAAGGACAGCCTTGGCAGAGTCCAACTCTCACCGGAAATGAGCCCAACTTACAGCCAGCAATGTGGACCAAGCTCAGGCTTTGGGACTTAAGCCCAGATAAAGGTGCATGGTAACCCAAACTCCAGGAGTAACCCCCTAGAGTACTCAAGTGGCATGGTCAAACACCTTCTCCAAATCTAAAAAACAAATGTACACTGGTTGAGCTAACACCCATGCACCCTCTAGGATATGGAGCTGCTACAGTGTTCCACGGCCAGGACAACAACTGGTTCCACTGTCTAGCGGACCTTCCTCTCCAGAACCCCTGAATAGACTTTACCAGGGAGGCTCAAGAGTTTGATCTCCCTAGTACGAACGCACTCAGAAAGTCCTTTTTTTTTTTTTACTTTATGACAAACTAAACCTTTTAATTCCTCACATGCTTTTGTAGCAATTTGCTGTTTTATTAAAGTCTTTGCTCAAAATGACAGGAGGATTATGTTTATATAATAAAAAGTTCATTAGAAAATTATTAAAGAGTCACATCCGGAGTTTTATTTAAGATGCTTTAACATTTTAAAAGAAAAATGTCAAAGGAAGATTAATTAGATGCACAAAATAAAAAGTCGTTTGTTCAAAGATCACTTTTTCCATAAAACAGACTTTTGGATTAAATGTGTATGTAGTTTAGTACTTTGGGTAGCTGAAGCAAAAACATTTAAAGGGCATCACTTGGCAGAGATAAATTCTACCTGACAGATTAGTGAACATAATCTGTAAAAACTCATTATTTCACGACAAAGTCTCGTCTTTCTGAGTCTAACTTGAAAGCTGCCGCAGTTTCAGTGTTAAAAAGACTCAAATCAATCAGGCATATTACATCCACCTGTTAGCAACTAATGAGATTCTGTTTTGACATTAAAACAACTCTGACCATGTAGGAAGAGGAGAAAACACATGAAGAGGTGTCGTGAAACGTCTTTCATTCAGAGATTAGCAGGAAGCCATTAACGGTCAGTAAGACGGTGGATGATTCAGCTTGTTTATCATCGAATCCAATCAGGTTTTATTTTGGAGGCTGAATGTTTGTTGTGCTATTTTAATTCCTCCTGACAACTTTGGAAAATGCAAGAATGCTTTTTCTGATTAATTTGTTTTTACAAGATGAGCAGCATTACTGTCAGTAGTCATAAACTTGTGGCTGATCGACGAATGAACCCCAGAAACACCTTTGTGTCACCTTTGATTACAAGTGTATTGGTTTAATTCCACATCAGCCTGTCATTAAGCTCTGTTTGGGATTTTCTGCAAGTGAAAGAGAAAGATAAAATAATTGTGGATCATTTATTTTTGGTGCAAATCCAGTGAAAATAAAATTAAATGTCAGATTTTGCTATTTACATGTAAATGTTTAATATAGAAACATCACGAAAGGGACACTTTTACTTGTAATGTGCTGCTAAACTTTATTAATCTATGCTGATTTACTCTCCACAGGTGGAATATTGACATCATGGATATAAAAAAAAAAATCCTTCAGATTTTGGTGAAAAGTTTTTAGATTATCAGTATTTAACCCTTAAACTTCCAGACCAAAAAAGGTTAAAAAGCAGCCTTTTCTACATTTTTATTCTTTTAAAACAATGAGAATTTGAGGATCAAGTAAATTACGAACTATATTTAAAGTATATATTATTGAGGTATTAATCTTTAACTTTTTATTCACACAACCCCATAATTTTCTGATTTTTCTTTTGTCTCTTAACTTTTTAGAGCTAAATCTAGTTCATGTTTCACAACAAAGATATAAATATGTGCTCTAAAAAACAGAACAGAGCTAAATGTCATTCAGGATGGCCAAAATGCAAAAACCTAATTACACAAATCTTAGCAAAGTGATTTCAGAGTGGACTTGGGTTTCTTTCTCTAAAGCAATTCCAGTATTTAGTTTGCTTAAAGAAAACTCTAACTGCATTATAACTTTATAACTGTAACCTTAAGTGACTCAGTAAAAAAACAAACAAACAAACAAAAAAATAACGAGGCTTTAAATTGTTCTGAGAAAAATACTTTCAAAGCTTTTTCATAGAAAACTAGACTTAAAACAATTCTGCATAATTATTGATCATATAAAGAACAGAATGGCAAATTACATCATAAATATTAAATCTGATGCCATGCAGAGGCAAATGAATAAAGATTTTCTCAAAGAAAACTCTTTCTTGCAATATAATAATTGAAAAATGTACCTTGTGTTGTTTTTGCTCCTCCTCCAGAGACACAAGAATGACCGCCACGAAGAGATTGAGCACCACAAACGTCAGGAGGATAGTACAGGAACCAAAGAGTAGTCCACCAATCAGATGGTCGTCATTCAGTACCTACAAATTAATACTGAAGCTTTTTTTAGTGTTCACTCAACATGGATTAAGCCCAAGGGGACAGGATAAGTTCTGGGCCAGAGGAAGAGCGAAAAAACTCACCTCATCAAAGTTGAAAATGCCGATTTGCAAACAGATGAGGGTCAGAAGAGCAGATGTGAAGGTTTTGTAGGAGGCGAGCTCCCAGCCATAGATGATGTTGCTCTGTGAAGTCACATGTACATCAGAGTCATACTTGTATTAAATCAGGGGAACTACTTTAGGTTTCATTGTATGAGCAGTTTGACTAAAGAGACCCAGTTCATTTTTTTCTGCTCATGGCGCTGTTATAAAGCTCTAATGGCCCCAAGGACTTCTAATTCTAATAGAAAAAGCATTTATTAGCAAACTTAACGGTCATTGCAAATGCAACAAAATGCTCACAGTGACGGCGTACGCCACCAGTATGATCGCAATGACCACGAGATTGAGGAAAATGTGGGTCGAAGCTCGTCGAAGGGCTGCTGTGATCAGGTTCATCTTGGGGTTTAGTCGGAGAAGATGCCACAGCTTGATGTTGGAGAGAAGGACCAGGAAGGCGATCGAGTACTGAAGCATGATGTCAGCTGTGGCAGTGTCGTAGAAACTGGCAAATCTACATTTAAAGAGTTGGTTAAAGGTCAGAAAAGATGTTTAATGGTCAGACACATAATTTCTGAGGTTCAGCCCTTACTGGTCTTTGTGGTTCTGGTAGTAGGCCAGGTCACGGTTTCCAAGGAGGGTCCTCTTGATAAAAAGAGCCACAGCGCTCCAGCTTAAGAGGATGATGCTGAGCTCCAGAAGGTTCCACTTGTTTTTAAAGTAACTCCAACGCTGCTGCTTCATCAGTTTCCCCTTTTTTGAGAAGAAAACAGCCTGATTTCTCAAATAGGAGGCAACAGGAGCATGACAACGTTTACAATTTTTAAACCACAAATAAAGATTTTGTTTTGAAACTAATTTAAAAATAAATTAAAACTTCTAATGTTTCTATATTTATTTATTCACACTGGTGTGCTTTTTCAGGTCTTGACAGTTCAGCAGCCAAAAGTTATAAAGAAAGGGTTGACAAAGAAAATCAAAGCTTTTAATTTATAAAAACATTACATGATGCAGTCTTCATTTAATATAAATAAATAACTCTGCATAATGTGCATCTACTGGCTAAACCTGTAATGAATGTCTAAGGGTGCACACGTATCCTCTTTACTAGGGATGTCCCGATCAGGTTTTTTTGCCCTCGAGTCCGAGTCATTTGATTTTGAGAATCTGCCGATACCTGGGGGATGGGTACCTTTGACATTTGAATCGATTCGGTACTAATTCCCTGTACCTAGGAATCGATACCGGTACTTAACGGTACCAATTTTTGATACTTTTGAGTGTTTATTATTTTAATTCTCTTTTATAATTAAATATTGACTCTCTAATATTTTGCTTTTACTGTATTATACCTTGTTCTTTTTTCTATTGTATTATGCTGCTGAGAGACCGCTGCTCGTCAAACACATTTCATTGCAATGTTGACCCTGTGCTAACTTGCATATGACAAATAAACTAAACTAAACTAAATATATATATTTCTCAATATATAACCATATTTGATAAATATCACGATAAATAACATACAACTGTTTGTATTTTAACATCGTCCTTGTAGTTTTATAAGCTGATAATTAAACTGAAGCTAACAGCTTTACTGTGAACTAAATTTACTGTGTATCTTCATTCCTTTTGCCGTCCTTTTTCTTTGATTTTTCCTACTGGGAAGTTAGAATTTCCGAGGAGAAAGCGAACGCACCATTAGCTGATAACAATGGTGGCAATGGAAGCTAACATATCAAGCTAACGTTATCTTAAACAGTTTATTTAGCTGCTGGAGCAGATTAAAACGATGATGCCTCACACTTAGATCGTTGTCGCTGGTTTCATCTTCACCCAATCACCCGTCGCATTTAGTAAAGTGAAGCCAAACTTTAGAGCGCGTTCATGCTCTTCTAGTCGGAAATTCGGACTTCCGAGGAGAAAGCGAATGCACCATTAGCGAAACGGAAGCTAACATATCAAGCTAACGTTATCTTAAACATTTTAATTACCTACCGGAGCAGATTAAGATGAGGATGTCTCACTTAGATCGTTGTCGCTGGTTTCATCATCACCCAGTTACCCATCACATTTAGTGAAGTGGACCCAAGCTTTAGCGTGCGTTCTTTCTACCCATGCTGCTCTGTTTACAACTGGCTCGCAGCGACCGACGACATAACGCTCTTGCGCATGCGCAGCTGTCTTGGCAAGTTCTCGTTGTGAAGGACGGGTACCGAAACGAGGCACCATTTGAAATGACGTGAATCTGTGCTCGGTTGGTACTATTGAATTCGGTCGGTACCTTAAAAAGTACCGAATTCGGTACCCATCCCTTGAGTCCCGATCTGATACTTTTGATACATTAAAAAAATATATAAGAAAAGGAAGAAACAGTTCCAGAATTTTTCTTATTTTTTATATTTTCATTTTTAACAACAGATCACTTCTGTGAGGTTAGCTTGAACAATCAAGTAATAAATAACATAAATTCTTCACTTTTGGACTTTATTACAAATATAAAAAGTCTAATATAAAAACAGATAGCACTTCAGCTTAAAATACCTGGCAGGGGTCTATTTGCCTCGGCCCCAAAAGCGCTTAGATACGTCCCTGGGCATGGGACGGAGTTTTGAAGATGATCTGAATTGTATCAACTATATAAATACTACATGCTGATGAATTATTGCTTTATGTGGGTACATACGTGTAGTGGGATCAATCTACCTACATTTTATTTTTTTAAGAACTTTGTTTTCTTGGTTTTTATTTTCCTATCTTCCTGTCCTGTCTGTCTCTGATCTTCCTGCGTCTCCCAGTCCTCCAGAAAATCTCTTGTCTGCTTCCTTCTTTTTCACCTCACAAGCAACTTTTTAACTAGCAGATCAAGTTGATCTATTGACCACAAAAAAAGCGGTGTGCGCCACGCTGCCCGGCTGCGCCAGTGACGAGCGGTGCAGCGCGAGCGCGTCCACACGTCATGCTCAAGTACAGACAGAACTTACAGCTAGAACATACCAGAGAGAAAATGATCGGACACGAACGACTGTGTGTTAATTATATGTATTTTTGGTGACGCCACTTAGAAACGTAGAAAATGTTACTGTGGCCGTGTGCAGAACGTAGCTGGAGTTTAGGGCTGCAGCTATCGAATATTTTTGTAATCGAGTACTCTATCGAATATTTTTTTCGATTAATCGAGTACTCTAATAAATTACCCTTTTGTATTTGTAAACCATTTTATCAAATAGCATGTTATAAAATATGAAAGACCTCTTAAAATGAGCAAGCTATTGCCAGTTATTCTTCAAGTTTTATTCAAAATTAGTTTTCAAAACTTCAGCACTTCAACTTTACTTCACAGTAAACAAATGGCTGTGCAAAAAATAAGTACACAACCTGAGCCGATTTTCCCCTCGTGCGAGAATCTGCTAGCCTGCAAGCCAGACAAAAACTAGGAGGATAACTGTTGAAGTAGCGCTGCGAGCGGCTGCGGCCCAAACAGAACCAGAACCGCTCACGGTGCATGCGCAAACAGCTCGCCGGCTGTTCCCTATTAACACACGTCCGTTTTAATTTCAACACTTTTTTCTCACACAATAACAAGGATTGTCGAGAAAGCATGTTTGCCGTGGTTTTGTCAAATTATACTGATCACAAAACATTTATTTACTTTCTTTCGTTTTCCTCGCATAAATACCCATGTCCTCCTGCAGCAATCCCGAAGGACAACAAACATCAATAACACAATAAAAAGTCCGACGTTTTGTGTAAAAACTGCTATTTTTAGCACATTTTAAGTCAGACGTGTTGCTACCAGACGTACGGTGTGAGCTGAAACTGAGTGCTACAAACGAAAAAGTCGCACAGTGTCCACAGAATATATAGAAATACAGGCTAAAATGCATTATCTTGTAGAGGCTCCGAGTCCGCTTGCAGAAGAGACATTTACAGGTGTTGCAGCACGGAGGATGTGGTGTTGTGGTAGGCTTAATCCATTTTACAGTATTTACACTGGAGTACGTTTTCCGCCTAACGACGTGAAAAATGGTCCCACATCTTGACATTTTCTGTCTTTTTCGCACTCCACCGGGGTCCATGTTGTCCGCCATGGCTTAAGAGAAAGTTAAGTTACATTCGCTACTCGCGTGTGCAGTCCAGTGGGCATGTGCGTCACTTATTTCAGTCCGGGTGAAACATGACCACGGGCGACTGCAAAGCCACGAATTAATTAAATATGAATTAAACGAATCCTCGAGGCAGAGAATTTGACTCGAGGATTTTTTGTACTCGAATTATTCGAGGTACTCGAGGAATCGTTTCAGCCCTACTGGAGTTCATGAATAATCAGCGGTCTGCCTGCCGCTCTCTGCATCTCTGCTCAAAAGAATCCCCGCAACTGTGAGTCCATATAATATGTATAATATAGGTAGAAACTGGATCTCTTTTGTGCTCCTTCTGGGTGTGTAAGTTAAGGGCATCCGGGGAGCCTGACAACCTTTAAGGAGAACCAAGTTGCTCTCCTGTTATTTGAACCCAGTATCCAGTCCGGATCGGGAAGTAAAGCCCGAGTCCTGATCGAGTCTGAAACCACGTGATCGGGCCGATTTACGATCATGTGATCGGATTGGGACATCCCTACTCTTTACCACATAATACACTATCTATATTTGATCCCATCTCTTTAACAGCTGTAAGGGGCTGTTAAGGACACAAAACAGGATCGTTATGTCACATTACTGTTAAATTATAGTTAATAGTGGAAGCCCATGAGCATAAAGCCTGCATTTGAGGGTGAAAAAAATCAAATCATTAGGTCATGAGACAGCGTAGAGATGCAAATAACTAATATTTCCCATGCAACAAAACTGAAAATGACAGATAATTAATGCTATTAAACCCAACAACATATTGTTATCCCTACATGACCTTTTGTAAGGTGACAGAAGTAAAGTTGACAATGAAATCTTATGTAAAGAGCATCGTTTCCATATTGCCAAGCCAGTCAATGTTTAAATTTAAATTGTGGCTAAAAGTTAAAACGACCGGGGAATTCCTTTTAGGACAAACCTGCAAAAAGCTGGTGAAGATTTCAAGACCCAGGAAAAAATACTTAAGTATTGGTTCTCATTAGATCTGCATGATGCAACATTTCAAACTGATGTTGCAAAATCTGAAGTTTTGAAAATGTTTGAATAATTTAAATGCTAGTGGAAACCAAACAACTTGGCAAACAATAAAAAACACCAAGATAGTCATAAATGTGTGCTTACCTGCTGGAACATGTAATAAAGGATGAAAAGCAAATAAAGGATCTCAGCAACCATGACGGAGAAGTAAAGGCCATCCATTGCCTGGTAAAGTCGAACAATCTGCAGCTCACTGTAGAGCCGGAAAGCTCCTGGGAGAGCAGATAACAGGATTAAATTCAAAAAAGGCAAGCATGTCATCAAGTTTTTCCACTTAATACAATAAATTAAGCTACGCATCCTGCAGCAGATCAACTTTCTCACCTACAGCAGCTGTTTCCATCAAGAATGTGACGATGCAGAACAGGTTCACATTTGCATTATAAACTGTGAACTCAGCAAAAACCGCCCTCGTGTACTCATCGAGCCATTTATTATTCCAAAGATAATCAAGTGTGCTGCAGACAAAGAACGCAAAATAAGAATTTAAAGCAACACTTAGAGTTTTTAACACTTTAAGCTATTACTTTCAAACTGGCTTCAGTGGTTCTTGAGCGACTTTGCATTGTACAGCACTCTGTAGCCCTCTTCTGGTCAGAAACTGCACTTAACTGTTTTGTGGTTCAGGTAGGAACACTAGTGGGAGGTTGCTACCTGCTTTATGGCAATTGCTGCTTGGTGTGCTGGTAGCAGGCTAGCAATTAGCTTTTTCAGCACGCTGACTGTCAATAAAAAGCACGAGTAGAAGAAGATCTTGGTTGTCTTTTTTGTTGGAATCATGGCGGTGCCTGGGATCTAAAAGTAAGCGAGTAATGGCAAAGTATTAAAACAAGAGGGAACCGCGGTGCAGTCTGCACTCACTTAAGTTGGCTGAAGGAGGCTATGATACACAGACTGATGGTGACCTGGCTTTGTTGCTACTGCAATTGTAAACAATGTTTTTTTGGTTTTGAACTTTTCACTTCATGTTGTAGGGTTGGGTAAATTGAATACTTTAGGAGCTCAATATATATATTAACTTTACTTGTGACCAATAAGCTGTGATACTCTTATCTAAATATAGAATATCACCCCGCCTGGTCTTTATTGTGTTTAATCAGAAGATTCTAGGATTCTTTGTTTATTAGGGGAGTGTACTTTGTTTTGATTCATCAAACAGTCAGGTTTGCAAAAGTAAGAATTAATTTTACAAACAATTAAAACTTGTCAAATTGGTTAACTATTATTTACTGTGAGTGGATGGAACTAAAGGTGATGTCTGGAACCTATGTGTGAATGCGATGTTGGTCAGAACTTCTGTATCTCGGAGAGCTGCGTTCTGGATGTTAAAGAGTTTGGTTTGCGTTAAGCTGTGAGGTTGATTGTTATCAAAAACCCTCATCAGACGCTATCTGTGTGTCTACATTACCCGTTTTCAGAGACCCTCTTGATGGATCCAAAAGTCAGAGAGGTCGGATGACCGCTGGCACCGGAGGGCTGTAGAATACTGTGGTACTGATCCTTTCAGTCCAGAGATGTCTCGGGTCATGACAGACGGAAGGAACCGAGCATCTGGATCTCTTAAGGAGTCTAAACAATATCAGCTTATTCTGCAGGAACTATTTTGTTGTAGCCTATCAGCTTTGCAGGTGCAAAATAGATTTTGACGACGTGTCAAAATCTTTGGTGGGTTAAAGAGGTGTGCTTCAGGTGGCCGATCTGAAGCTTCTCTAGAACTAAAGAATCACCAACGTGATCTGGTTTTAATGTTCTCATGTTATGATTGTGTAGCCAACCAAAGGTTGACAAGTTTGGATGTTACCAAGAATCTCAGAGACGCACGCCTTCTTTGATCCGGAGGCTCTGATCTGGGTAAAAGGTTAATTATGTGTCATGGACTTAACTTTACCTTACTTTGTACTTGTGTGAGTGCAAATGCTATGACCTTGTCAAGTAAACATGCTGAAACAATCATTGAGTACAGATTAATGAAACATTTCATTATTTATAATTATTATAAGTAGCAATAAACAAACATTTATTTAATGATTTTCTGGCTTAAGTTTAGGAAGTTCATATTTAATTTTAAAATCTTCTTCTTGAAACGAGGAGGTTAGATAAAAGGGTGCTCTGCGAGGGACCTTGGAAAGAACAGGATGTCAATTTTATGATTCCAGGATGTCAACAAGCAGTTCAGGATCTTGTGGCTTGTTGGCAGCTAGAATATAAAACCCACACCATAGGGTTGAATTAGGTCTGCAGATGACCTGTAGGTCATCTGCAGGTGAACACTGACATTTGTGGACATTACAATGTCTCACTTAGCAGTTGACTCTTGTTGGCATTAGTTCATTGTTAGCGCTAGCTACAGCGGGCTACTGCAGGGTTGTTTAGGACAGTTGTAATTCCGTTTTCAACCAGTAGGGGAGAGAAGCAGGAAACTAAAGTGTTGCTTTAAGATCATAAACAATGTGTTTACATTGAAAACATCAAAGAACTCACCCACGAGCTTGCAGGAGATTCGGGCCCAAGTCAGCTACGTAACCACCGCCTCGGTAGGTCTCCAGTCTGCCCCAAAAAGGTCGATTCCTGAGTTCGGATTGCGTCTGGTACTTCCATGGTCTGGATGTGCTTGTAGAAATATTATCCAACAGGGAGTGGTTCCACCCTGGTTCATAGGACCCCATGTCCTCCATCTCCCATGAATACACAGCATTGCAGTTTGACACAAATGTTAGCATAGAGCCTGCAACCTGACAAGAATTCTTCTGGACTCTCAGCTGACGAAGACGAGCGTTCCCCACCAGCTTGGACTTTCCATCGGTAATAAATCCTGAGTAGGAACATTTTACAGTTTCACTCTAATCATAGACTTTGTAGATTTATATCATTTATATCATTATATCACTCGCCACAAAGTTAAATCCAGTCATTTTCATTCTGCAAGCCAAGTGTAAAACTCTTGCTTGGTTTTGGTAGTCCACAATGATTACAAATATTTTCCTTCATATACACGTAAAAAATGTAATTTTTAAATGTGCAGTTACAATATAACATGTAATTGAGCTGAAAATCCCATAACGTGGGATTAAACAATCATTGGGATGGATTTCTACCTTGAAATTCTCCAAAAAGGTTTGGGAGTAGTGACGTGTTGGCCCACATAAACACACCCTGAGTGCTCACGCTGTCCGGAACATTTTGCGTGAAGCTGTTGATGATGTGCTGATTCAGGAAGAATGCGTTGGGGTCTTTTTGACCAAAAGCTACCAGCAGCAACATCCACATGAAGCCCAAGTAGGCTGGAATACAAAACCCAAAGTAAGAATTGAACTATCCTCAACGTGCTGGTGAAAGTTCTCAGTCATCCAGGTTACAGTAATCCAAAGGGGTTCAAAGGAAGTTTTGTTTCTCATCCCAGCAGTTTTGTTAATTCTCACTGAAATATGGGAGAGCCACATTTATGAACTGTAGCTGTCTATTGTTGCTTAAAGAGCTGAAACTACCTATGAATAACCCCCTTCCCTACCCCCTGAGGAGTTGTTGAAGTCATTATGACGTATTATGTGAGCATGGTTGTTTTGATTAGATGTAAGATGGTGTGACCTGGACTCAAACGGTTTTTGAATTAGGTTTAAAGTTGCATTGTTGGTGCTGGAAAGGTGAAGCCTGAGGTCTCCTCTTCTGCTGAATGTTTTCCAAGTCAGAATTGACTAAGCTCCTGGGAGGAGGAGCGAAAGGTCTTCAAGAAACCAACAAAGTCCAGTTTGACTTCATTCGAACCCCTTTGGATTTTCCAGAAATAACTTTTATTTTATTTTATTTTAACCACCACCTGAATAATATGTCAAGAAGCACCCTGAATGTGTCAGTGCGTCTGACTGGCTTTGTTTGTTTTCTTATTCTGAATGTGCTTATGTGATGCAACAGTTACAAACTCACTTAAAATCTCTGTAAGGAGAGCAAATGCCTTCTGTTCCAAAATCTTTTTCCTTTTCATTCTTTCAATGTCTGCAGGAGGAGGTGGCTCATACAAGGAGCCCTCCCATCTCCTTGTGTGTTGGTTATTTTCATCACCTGTGGACGTTTCTCAGCATTTGATCATTTTTCATCACTTTTACAACATGGTTTCTTTTTTATTTAGGTTCAAGTATGAAGACATTACCTGGAGTTTTTTCGCTTTTCTCAAACACCACATTTTGAAAATCTTCCCCCTCAACTTTCTTGATTACAAGTGCAAAGAATACTGCGAGACAAATCACCTGTTTTGCGAGATGCAAAGAGGTGCGAGAAGAGTAAAAATAATTTAAAGTCATACTAGGTGTGGATAAAGACCAAAAAGTACATGCTCTTACCTTTATAGGCTGGATAAGGAGAAGACTATGAAAGAAAGAGATGACCATGGATACCAACCAGCTTATGGAGCGCTCCTTTCCAAATTTCAACCCGTAGAGCATCGTAAAGTACCCTGCTATAACACTGGTTCCGATCACCAGCAGCCAGCCGACAAAGATAAACCACCAGGGCAGACATCCCTGATGACTCACTTTCTTATTTTGTTCTAAATGGTCAGAAGTGCAATCTGCAGGAATGGACCTGCAAATAGAGAGCAAAAGGAGACTTTACCTGATAAAATGTGATCATGGCTTTGACTTCTGAAGAAAAAAAAGCATCAAATACTCTAAATGAACAAAAAGCAGAAGCCTTTACTTCTGGTGTTCCTCCTGGTTGATGGGGTTGGATGTGAAAAGATGGTCTCTAAGGATGCTCTTCGTGTTCTGAACTCGCTGCAGAGTCTGACAAAACCCGTCTGGGTCGGAGAAGCTGGAGGTGTCCAGCTGATTCATTTCCCCTTCCAGGCAGCCCAGCTGTTTGTACAGCTGTTGCGTTTTGTTGCTCTGCTTTTCAATGCCCCTGACTAAAAAAAGACACAAACCCACAACTTAGTGGACATAATTTTAGCTGCTTTCAGTCTCATACTGTAGAAAATCCACCTAATATTCTTTTTTTCTTCATTTATCATTTACATATTATTTAATGATTCATTTACCTGTCAAAAACCACAATCGTACCTAATGAAGAGTAAAACCTGATGATTTAGCGTTTTATAAACAGTATGAATATGATTGCTTCAATAGAACACACCTGGTAGCTTAGACTGTGCATTTGACTGGGTAGTAGCTCTTATTCTGTAGTTCTGTTTAATAAAACGCTCTACTTCAGAAAGCAGAACGTTGATTTCAGACTCTTTTCCAAACTTGGTGCGTGGTATGTTGCTTTTTGTCGTCTCAGAGAACGACTGGACAATTCTTGTAATATCCTAAACGAAAACAGGATGTGAAGCACACGCAAAACATAAAAACGGAAAAAGTGTTTGATATTATAAATATTATGGTACTGGCTGATTCAAGAGCACTTGCCTTTAAGATATTGTCTAACTCGGCATTTCTAGCAGTTTTGGAGGCCTTCAGAGAGGAAACGGTGAGCAAAGCGCCCTCACGCTGAAGGTTTTTTGTTTTCTTGGTCTTGCTCTGGCAACAAGGCATCTGTCGTGGACGAGTGTTTCTGAAGATTCCGACTATGATGAGATTTATCGGAAACATGATGAGGGAACTCTCAAGTCCAACCATGAACTGCTGCCAGGTGAACTGGAAGTGACCTGAAAAATGTATATCCGACATTCTGAATCATTTTCTTAAATTTGGAATCAACTGTAAATAAATAAAAAATCAAGTTTACCCAAGTCCATGACCTGTTCGGACGGGTCAGTGGGGATCCCATAAAACATGAGGCTGGTCAGCATGGTGCACAGCAGCAGGGAGAAGCAACAGGAAACTCTTTGCACACAAGTAAAAGTGCTGTTCGGTGGACGAAACATCACAGAGAACCACAGGTGTCCATCACTGAAATCCTTTGCTGTCTTCATGAAGAACAAATTACTGGGAGGCAAAAAGTAATAAACATTTTAAGTCCCAAACACCCAATTAGTGGAGGATTAACGTGATTACTGAAACTACAAAGTTTGGAAGAGCTCAGAGTTTAGGCTTTAGCTGTGGGATCAAAGGGAAAAGAAGAAATTTCTTATTTAATTATTAAAATAATCGCATATTTAATTCAGAGAGAACATTTGGGTGTATCCTACATGGATTTTGTGCTTCTCAGCAGCAAATTCAAATAAGAGCTGAAACTGGACAAATGTACTGATTTAAATGTAATATATTATCAGAATGAAATGCAAACTACAGAATGAAATTGTTTTTAAGTTTGCACCACAGCAGCGGAGGGGAGGATCATGTTTGCAGCGTTTCAACCAACTTCTCACAGGAAGAGTTCCTCCTCTTCAGCCTTGCTTTTGCATCCCATTTGCATTTCATTTGAACTCACACTATTCACATTCAAGAGGAAATATTTGTTTAGGTTTCAAATTCAATTTTCAGATCCTAACAGCATGCTTCCATGTAATTTTGCTGTTCAGAGCACCACTTCATCCCTGCCTCACCTGAATGTCTTCAGGTCCGTCTCCGTAGAAGCAGGAAATATTTGATCCAAGGAGCATTCACCCATGTCAATCGCGAGCCAAGAATTACATAAAAAGATCCATTTTTCATCTGTCTGTAAGTCCTGGACCATAATGTTCCCCACAAACCTGGAGAAAGGAGAAAAAACATATAATTTATTATTAGTTTTTAAGTTTGTGCATGATTTGTTCTCTTTCTCACCTGCAATGCATAATAAACACTTATTCCCAATGTATTAAGTGTTACCATTTTAATGTTAACACCTATCAACTATTAGCCATTTCTTGTAAATTGGCACCAGTACATTTATTTTCTAATTTTCACATGTTTTTGTTTCATACCAAGCAGAATGACTCCCTGAGTTGTTGTGCCACAGCCTGATGCCCTGCAGCTCTCCTAAGCAGTGAGGGGAAGCTAGCAGAAACAAATCCACCGCACCTCGCTCAAACAATGGCTTCTTTGGATCAGAAAGGTGGTGGGGCTGACTGCTTCCTTCTGCACCCAGAAGAGTCACAACAACCTGAAACAATATGGTGCATTAAAACAAAAAAGTTTAAAACAAATGAGTTGTTGAAATCTTTGATGTGACCAGTTTGAACATAGAAATTGAGCTAATTAATTTGGTTTGAACCCTTAAAAGGGACATTTCACCCCAAAGTGATATTTAGTCTGTTGTCATATTCCCCAGAGTTTGATAAGTGGGTCAAAGCATTCTGTAACCAGTCTAGACATTCTCCTGATCTACCAGTACTCTGTTAGCGTTAGCTTAGCGTGAACAATGTAAGTCAATGGTAACAACTAGCACTGCTGTAAGCCACCGCTACAAGGCACAAGGATGTGATACAGCAGTGTGACATGTGGCAAACAGTCACTTTCGAGTTTACTGTATATTACTGAAAACATTTCAACCTAATAGCTGCGTTTACATGAGCCAAATTTCGTCAATCCGATTGAAATCTTGGTTGATCGGAATTTCCGAATCTCTGTTCACATGGACACGAACTGAAATGATCCGATCATGCCGTGCGTACATGTGCACCAAGCATTTAATCCGATTAAATAGGTTGAGAATGCACAGAGTTGCCTTTCCCGAAAGAAAAATTGTAAACAAACGCCATGAAACGAAACGAAAAATGTAAAAACAGAAAAAACTATTCTTCCTGCTTTCCTGATCCATTTATTCAATTTAATACTTTTATTTAGCTCATAGAAGTTATGTTTTCTTCAGTGAATAACTGCAGATATATGCTTTGCTGCATTTTATTGTTGATTAAAATAAGGGAGGGTTATGTTTTTGCCTCTTGATCAGCTGGTCCGCGGGTCTGAAGTGACAGCTGTGCTGTTGCGCTGCGGCACAGAGCGGGGGTGGGGGGTTAGACTCATGTTTTATTACTGAGCTCTGTTGTAGCTTATTATTAATAACATGTGACAATCAGCTGAAACTGTTGAGAAAAATCTGTTCAAACAAAATGTTCAGAAAGTTTAGAAGCCTGTGTTCATCATTAACGAACCGCATCTCAGGTCATCTGCGTTTACGTGCTTTTAACGAACACGGACTTTACTGTCGTCCAGAGTATTTAACCGAGGACGTTTTCCTACCCAACATCAGCCTCCAATCAGGTCTGTAAAACCCAGATTATCCTGTGTTCTTTACAAGCGAGTCTCCATCACCTGCTGCAGAAGCTGCTGCGTTCAAAGCTGACAGAAACGGGGATCCGTGCGCTGCAACCCCCGCAATAAACCTGCGTATTTCCAGTACAGATTTGAACATGTTTGTCGAATGATTTGTGCAATAATCAGATTTTCATTTTACTTCCACAAAATGCAAGTTCTGAATTAAATATTACTGAAACGGGGACGGCTTGTCGTCGGATTTAAAAGCCGCCGCTCGTTAATTACGCCGTCATTTTTGAAGTCAGGCAGTCCAAATGACAGTGGCGAGGCCCCCTCGCTGTTGCACACATGCGCAGTGGGCATTATTTTACCCCAACAATCCGAATGGCTGTGTACGTGCGCGTCAATCGGAATGAAGAACGGAATAAACCACCTCTCTCAATCGGACTGAATTTTCAATCCGATTGGGCCGAATCGGATCAGAATATTCCGATTGACATGTTTACATGCAGAATTTTCGATCTGATTGGGCATTCAATCCGATTAAATATGCGCATGTAAACGTGGCTAATGACAGCTAACTGCCAGTTTTAGGACAGCAGTGTTGTGTCCTTGTGCCTTGCAGCGATAGCTTACAACAGTGTTTTGTTGTTTTGTAGTCTTAAGTAAAAATTGGCTGCTGTAATTCCTCCGCGTTTGTTATTTCAATTTGCAGTTGATGTGATTTTTGAGGTCACCAAGAGAAATTAGAATCATTAAAACATTATTTTCTTGACTTTCATATGAAATGCTAGTTGTTACGTTTACATTATTTATGATAAGCTAAAGCTAACAGAATACTGCCAGATTAGAAGAACTGGGCTGGTTACATAATGCTTTTCCCCACTTACCCAACTCTGGAAAATATGGCAACAGACAAAAATTTGACTGAAATATCCCTTTAATAAAGGCAGAATCACATGTTTAAAGTTTAAAATTACATCAACTCATTCCATGCCGTAGTTCTTTTTTAAAACACAGAGCGGTTTTGTTTACCTGTTTTCCCGCTACGTTTTGTTTGCGGCTGCAAACTTCCTCAGGTTGTTCAAGCAATGCCTGAGGAAGTTTGCAGCCGCAAATGAAACGTATAGCGGGAAAACAGGTAAACAAAACTGCTCTGTGTTTTAAAAAAGAACTACAGCATGGAATTAAAGATACAACACAGCAAGAACACACCTAAGACATCAACTCATTTCTGTTTCAAATTAGTTCTTGAAACCAATGTGATAGCTGCATTATCGACCCTCCTTTTTCACCCCCTCACCAAAAGATCAATCAGTGTTTACCCTTTTGTTTCAGTTTCAGATACCCAACAGCCCCCTGATGGAAAATCTGGTCCCTTTAGTTCTGAAAAGCTTGGCTGTGTTCTACAAATAGAAGCAGGCAGATGAAAGGACTGCTGAGAAATTGAGTGGGCGGCCTGATATTTAAGAAACAGAAGCTAAGGAGAGTGGAAGCAGAGCTTCATGAGTCGTGAGCAATGAACTGCTGCTCAGATATTTTTTTGGGTGCAGAAGATTAAGTCAATTTTTCTGTTCTTGAGAACAGAAAAAAATGCTCATGTCATACATTTTTTTAAAGTTGCATATAATTGTGTATAATTTCCTAAAAGATTAAAATGCCATGATTTAAAAAATATCTCTCGTTCATACATGTTTTCTAAATTCTGGTGAAGAATCCAAGACCATTAATTAATTAATTAATTTAATATTATTCAGATATTGAGATGTACATTTTTGGGGGATCTTCTTGCTAATAGCATTTAGCCTGCACTGCCCCAGTCCATCCATTCATTTTCATCCACTTATCCGGGGTCAGGTTGCGGGGGCAGCAGCCTAAGCAGAGAGGTCCAGACTTCCCTCTCCTCAGCTACTTGGGCCAGCTTCTCCGGGGGAATCCCAAGGCGTTCACTGGCCAGCCAAGAGCCCCCTCAACTGGCTCCTCTCGATGTGGAGGATCAGCAGATCTACCCCTCCCGGATGACCAAGCTTCTCACCCCATCTCTAAGGGAGAGCCTAGACAACCTGCAGAGAAAACTAGTTTTGGCAGCTTTTATCCATGATCTCATTCTTTCTGTCACTACCCAAAGCTCGTGACCATAGGTGAGGGTTTATCGAACGGGAAATCAAGAGCTTCACCACTCTCTTATGCTCCCTTCACCACAACAAACTGTTACAACACCCACAGTACTGTAGACTGAGCACAAGTCACTTATCCAATTTTTTATTTCCAGCTGGTAAGCAGCATCGTTCCCCGGTCTGACTTCCCAGGCAAACAGAATACAGCATTAATGCGTACCTGAGAGGAAGTGGATGCACCCATACGACGTCCAGTGCAAACACTCAACAGATAGAAATAATTGTCCATGGGATCATTATCTTCTAGCACCGTTCCCTTCACCTGTTTGAGACAAACAAAAATATTAGTCTCCAATTCATGTATCCATCAAGATTCTTTTATGGAGTAAAAATCTCAATAATTATTTTCTAAAAAGGTGTGTTAACTGAAACAAGGTAGTGTGACTGACCGCATGTCGAAATTGGTTTACTTTTAGTTTTTTAAGTATGAGAAAAATATTTAATATTTTATTTTTCGATGTCTGTTATGCCTTTTGGTCGAAAGTCAGTAGTTAGTGCATAATCTGATTAAGTTACATAAGCAAGGTGATAAATGAGTTCAAAGTTAAGAAATGTGTGATTCATGCTGAAAACTGTTAAAATGTGTGGGTTTGAAATTTGCTCAGAGTGAGACATCGTTATCACAAGCGATCTTTGTATTGTACGTGCGGAAATGGGAGCGAGTGAGCGCTCCGATCATTCACTTATCTTTGACGTTTTTCTCCGCGAATGCTGTGAAAAGTGCTTCGGCAGTATTAAAACAGTGAATAAGTCCATGTACACGCTATAAGGCCTAGTCCACACATAGCCGGGTTTCTTTTAAACGAATATCCGCCCCTCCAAAAACTTGCATCCACACCACCTCGTTTAAAAAAAAAACTCTGTCCACACGTACCCGGATAAATACGTTGTTAAGGACATGCCAAACCTGTAGGCGGCAGTACTTCCCCCGTTCTTAACCTCGTCCTTCGTCTGTGGTCTTCCGCAAGGAGCAGTAATTCCGCTTGCAAAAACAAACAAGCAGAAAGCGCTTGGACAATTGATAAAGTGAGCGCAGCTCTGAGGGCATCCATGCTGTCGGCTAGTGTAAACACAGGTCGCACACATGATGTCAGCATTTTTTTGTCGCGGAAAGTGACGTTGCGGACCTTAAAACTCCGGTTTTGTCTGTCCACACGCAGACACCCAAAACGGAGAAAACGCAGATCTTCACTTTGGCCGGAGTTTTTAAAAAGATCCGTTTTCGTGTGAAAAAACTCCGTTTTCGTGTGGATGACAGGCCAAAACGTAGAAAAATATCTACGTTTTGGCAGATCCCCAGCTACGTGTGGACAGGGCCTTAGTGCCCTACACGCTTGTACCTTGGGAAACGTTTGTCTTTGTAAGTATTAATGTGTTCAATAATAACTTTTATATGTGTTTACATGGAGTGAACTGTGATGCTAATGTAACGTACGTGTTAAGCTAGGCTAATCTTTAAGTTCTCATTAAGATGTGTTTTAGCAAGCAATTTATTTTCACTCTCTGTATGTTTCAGTTACAAATAAGAAATAGCAAGGAGAAGCCTTGAGAGAGATAAGGCTTAAAAAGATCTTCAGTAAAATCAAGAAAAGCAAGCCTTGTGTGGCGATCTCGTCTATTTTGTTCGCTGGCTGTCTAGCTTCACATGGTCACGTGTCGTGAGGGCAGCACAATGTCTCTGGAATAAGATGGAAAGTCTCTTCACCTTGCCTGTGTCTTGGATGTCCTTTCTCCGTGCCCACACAACCACTAAGAGATAGGTCACAAAGAGCGCACCGACGAAGCACACTACCACAGGGTTCTGAGCAAAGGTTGCAAAAAGCTGAGCGGTTTGAGACGGGTCAACAAGATTTGGTGTCACAAAGAAAGAACTCCCAAAAAATGTGAGGTGGTTGCAGAGGCACTGGGTGACAAATGGTGTAGTTTTTACACCAACCTAGAAAGACAGTCGCTGTCATTTTCATACAAAATTCATACAACTTGATTTCCATCAACTACCTACTTTGCATCCAGAATCTTTCCAGTCCAACTGTGTTTCATTCCAAAATTTGCACGAGGATGTGATGGGAGTGATCGATAATGTGGCATTGATAGATTTGATACCTGGACCTACAATAGGCCTCACCACAAGATAATATGTTCCAGTGTTTCCTTTTAAACTTGCACCATCAAGGATCCACGTGTACCGCTCCTCTATGCCACACAAACACATATTTCAGATAAGTGAAAAACAATATTTGGATCATATTAGACAGATTAAAAATAAAGAGTACCTTGTGTAGATCCCTGCAGAGGCATCTGAGTCATTGCTATATAATTTGAATCCGTTGGGTAATTCCTATAACCAAGCAACAGTTTGAAGGGTAAAGGATCCATTGAAGGCACCATCTTTGAAAGATAAAAAATAATGTTGTATCAGACTGCATAAGACCAGTTTTTCCAGGTTACATTTCACTCTTATCCCAGTAGGGCTAGGTCGTCACATATCTAGGGTTATAGCCAGTTTTCCATGAGCACGACTCAGCCTGAGACTGTTCTGTACAGCGTGGTGCGAGTCCGCTCATCATCTGAGTGTAATTTTGTTTCCATGCCAGCTCCATGACAGAAAGTGGGTGCGCCCCTCATAGGCACAGAGGGAGTAAGAGGGGGACCCGCAGCACTCTTGGGGGGTGGGGCACAATTTTTACTCATGACAAAATAACATTACGCCAGGATCACATCAGCTGAAAGGCCTTCTTTGCCGACCCGACTCAGCCTTGCCAGGTACCTCAGTGGAGCAAGGACTAAAAATTATGGAGAAAGTCGAGGTAAAACACAGAACCGTGCCCATGGAAACTGGTCGGTCTGAGCTGCACTGGTCCAAGTTTCTCTGAGTAGTGCTCATGGAAAACTACCTTAAGTGTAAGCACATCAACTCCACCTTCAAAAGCAGCGTGCTGTCAGCTGAAGGAACATCTATGGCTGTAGTGCTGTAGTTCCTTAGATCCAAAACCGAAGTGTTCACCTGTTCTCCAGCAGGTCTCGGCAACAGAATCTATGGAATCAGCTAGAGTTCAGAGAATTTCAGCCACAGGGAAATTAAAACATAGGGGAAGTAGAAAGTTTTGTCTTTCTTTAACAACCACCGCGTCCTTTTTAAATAGTTGTCATAAAAAACAGTTTTCCTCATCCCCGGCTGTGCACCATTGTACTCAAACCAGCTGACTATGAGTTAAAGTTATACTTACAAGAGCAATAGCATAATCACGAGATTTGCATAGCAATTTCAATCCTTTATCTACAAGCTCTCACCATTCAGAAAACGTTTTCCCAACGTTGTTCAGCCTCTCTTTCGGTTGGACATAATTTTTCACTTTTGTTTTTCATTGGATAAAGGTTTTCTATAATTCTTTGGAGGCTTTGCCATGACGAGAACTATACAATACGCCAACCATCTTGGTGATGTCTGTTCTGATGTGTAAACACTGATTGCCATAAAGCGTTGATGTTTCTCACAAGATATGTGGCCTTGCAAGACTTCAGGTCACTGGTCTGTAGCTGCAAACATGGTATTCTCCCACAAGGAGCAAAGGGAGCTGAGATTATTCACTCACCCTGTAAAGGTCATTTTAGCACCTACTGCAAAAATATGACAAAGCTACCTTTAAAGCTGCTTTAGCGAATCAACAGAACAAGCTAGGTTTTTAACGCAAACACGGACACGGAACACTCACCCCTCTCCTTGGGTATCTTCCCTGACACGCTTCTGCTGGAATCAGAAGCCCGCAATGTCAGAGGACATAATATAGTGCTAAACACCAGTCACTGTCTTTTGTTGTTCAGGACTTAATCCCAATTCTCGCACTTCGACCCTTGCACCCTTAAATTGTGTGTTCCAGTCCAGGAGTGCGAGTGTGTACGGTGTCCCACTCCTCAAGTGCGGAAAGTGACCACACCCCTTTTGCACCCTGAAGCAGCACTTCCCAAGCCCGAATCGATGCAAACTTGGGTGAAGTGCGTTACTTACAATCCATTGCTGCATTGAAACTTTGAGAAGAAGGTGGAACAATGGCTTAAAATATGTATTTTCAAACAAAATAAGTTCATTTTAAAACATTTAATGATATTTATTCATGCTCTGAAAGTTTGACTCATTTAATGTAGACAGCAATGACTGTTAAGTTTGTCAATTGTTTCTTTGAAAGTTATCAATAAAGATTTTTTTAAGTAGCACAAACAGTGATCGGCATCCTGGGATGCATCGTAGTCGATGATGCAACGGTCAATGTCCTAATTCTGCAATTATTTGGACACTCGTGTACTACAAACTAAAGCCTTACTGGGCAGTTCCTCCAACCACACTTCACAGAAGACTGTAGGGCGCAGAGCGAGTATTGGGATCGGTCCTTCAAATGGTCTTTTTTTTCTTTTTGGGACTCTGGAAGTTTGTCCTAAAGTTTAAGTGGTAGCAGCTGGATGTTTGTCCTCTGATAATATTGAGCTGCGAACCTCTCACACCAGTGCTGTTCTATTGCTAAATACGTGAGTGTGGAGGATCCAGCGAAGTGCGGCTAATTTTCTCAAGTGTTCAATAGACATAACCAGTTTCGATTTTTTACTCATAAGGTTTTAATATGTGTAAGCAAACTAATCTCTAACCCTGTGACTGGTTTCTAATGCAAAAAGATGAATTGATGCATATAATTCATAGACATCTAAGCTAAACAAACCATATGTTTGGCTACAGAACACGTTTTTCTAACAAATTCTCCCTTGAATAAATGTAGGCAGTGAGGAGCTCAGCTATAAATACAAATCAGCAGAAATACAGTGTCCACTTCACATCAACAGAGATTATTTATTTTTTTATGATTTATTTTTTACACTGCGACTAATTTAGTCAGCTCCATCACTTAATTTTTGTTGAAAATGAGGCCTCTATTTTGCAGAAATGGATGCGTGTGAGTCTGGTTAGAAAATAAAAAGATGCAACTGAGGCCGCACTGACCTCAACATCTTCACTTAAGTTCTCCACGGGGATACCGGATCCATCTATTGCTGTGAGCGACAGACCACCTATTAGTCCGCTGATGTTCCCTCTCAGGTTCCAGGAAAATGGGTTTTTATCTAAACTCAGCATCTGTGGGAGTATTTAAAGAGAAAAGCTGAACAGACACTTCGGAGAATTGAGAAAAACTTCGATGCAACATGACTGTGTGAAACACCTGTACTTGTGTTCACTCACAGACACACACAGGAAATTTTGACTTACTCGAACATCCACTGGTTCCTCTGAGGGAAACATATCAACTGGTAGTTCTGGCAGAGAAAATGTTGGGTAAGAAGTGTTGGCAAAGCCTATACGTTGAGAACTCAAATTGCCCAGTGTGACTCTGAGAAAAGATAATCAGACAGTATACTTTTATTTGTTGTTTTTTTAGCCAATTTACTCATTTTACATGACTTTATAATTTATTCCTTCCATCTAAATTATCAGGAACCCCTTGATTCAAGGAAAAAATGAATGTGTAGTTTTTATCGTTGTCTGCGAATTAACTTCAAACCGGAACATTTTTGGTGAATAATAATTTGGGAAGATACCATACCAGCTTAGTGGAGCTAGTGGTAGAGTGTCCACCCTGGGACTGGGATATCAGTGTGTGTGTGTGTGTGTGTGTGTGTGTGTGTGTGTGTGTGTGTGTGTGTGTGTGTGAGACAACTATGGGACTACAATCTTTAATTACAACTCCGCCTCTCCTGGTTTTGACTACTGGTTTCTTGACTTCTGCGCATTCTGGTCGCTTTGGGGCCACGGAGCGTTTGCCTTGGACAGTTTGATGTCGCATTTCAGAGTGTGAACAACCACACAAAAAGTCAGATTTGCTCAAAAAAATAATTCGGAATTGAGCATCACGTCCTGCAGTGTGAATGTAGCCTAGTCTCAGTGCAACGCCATGTTAGATGCCAGGTTTCCTTCTACACGAGCCCGTGAGGACTAAATGCATTTACGGATTTGTAACAAACTGTTACAAACTCTTTGCCATTCATAAACGTTGTTTTACACATTTACCTCTTCACCAGGGTCCGAAATTAACGCTCGCCACTCGCCAAATGCGAGCAAATTGCTCCATTTGGCGAGTAAATTTTTGAGCTCTATCTGCCACCTGGCGAGTAAATGTTTGCACCAAATTAGTTATGTTTATCAGTCATCTCCCATGGATTTCTGATACTCCTCGCGCCTGCATGCAACGTACACAAACGTACGCGAAACGTGAGCACCTTATCCAACGTCATTTCCACCTATCCCATTCAATCAGTTTATCAAGTTAGCAGTTAGCTTCGTGTTAAAACTAGCGATGAAATGTGGCGGTGTTTAACTGGAGTCAGCCAGCCTTCCAAAAGAAAACTCGTCGAACTGGAAGAAAAACCACCAGGACCAGTGGCAACCAGAAGATTTTGTGAAAAGTGGCGAACCGGAGATGGCGGAGTCGTGAGACAATGGCTACATTATGATGGCCATGTAGCGTTGCTGCCTTTCACAGACAACTGTCCCTCGGCATTCTTCAAATATCCAAAAAATGCCCATACTTCCGACTTTGTCTTCTTTGAGGGATAATAAATGTCCCGAGTGCTGCCGTCTCCTCCTCTGGCCATTATTTCAGCTTTAGCTTAAAGAAAGTTTTGGTCGTAAACAACAAAGTGCTCATGTGCCGCCGGCAACTTCAGCAGATGATACGGTGGCTGGTAAGGGTCACCGCGCCTACACCACAGCCACGGTAATCCACCAAGATAATATATATATTTTTAAAAACAAGACGGTTATTATTATTGTCAACTTTTTTACCGTGGTTTACTGCTACACTGGTTTCCGTGACAACCCTAGCCCTGACAACACTTTCAGATACTCTCATGGTGCAGCTGTGTTCTCCAGAGATCAAGGACTATGACCCAAATGAGGCTGTAATGCTTTGGCACAAAGACGGTGTCAGAAGCAGGAGGCCAGACTTCATGGACAGAGAAAACAAGGAGTCTGACTAGATTTCAATGAAAGAGTTCATAAAAACATCTCTAAAAATAAATAAATAAATAATAAAAATGACAGAGTTGTTTTTCTTATTAACTGATGTTTTAATTATTTTGTCACTCAGTTTGGAATCAACATAATATAGAATTACATGCTTTAGGTGGATCTAAATCATTTAGAATTTTGGCCGGTAAAAAATATGCTTGGCCGGTAGATTTTCATCATCTACTGGCCAACTTGGCCGGTGAGTAAAAAATTTTATTTCGGACCCTGCTCTTCACTCGTTGTCAGTGTTGAAAGGGAGTCTGATGTGCTTGTCATTTTGCTGCAGGTTGCGCTCCCAGGGACTTTTGACCCTAATGGCTGTCGTACGCCAACACAAAAATACTGCTTGCTTGCAATGATTTAGGTATGTAGTGCCCTCCATCGCCAGGGAAAATGCACACAGTCACTTTATTTATTTATTACGGCACACAATTTCATTTGTTTACCTTAAATGAGTGAACCACACCTTTAATGACATTCAGAAAAAGGTTCAGAAGCTTTGTCTGAAAAAAATACTTTTAGATGATGTTTCAATATAAATTTACTTTTAAATAAATGTTATTCTGTGAAGCCCTTTGTGATGTTTTTTTCCCTGAAATGTGCAAAAAAAACTAACTAGTTTTATAAATTCTAAATTGTTGAACACTTGTACTCTGGCAGTGTTATTTGATGAGTAATATATATATATATATATATATATATATATATATATATATATATATACACAGAGAGAGAGAGAGAGAGAGAGAGAGAGAGAGAGAGAGAGAGAGAGAGAGAGAGAGAGAGAGAGAGAGAGACTTAAGGGTTTTAGCAGTTGCTGGTAAATAGTTCTTTTGTGCCGATTACGTGTACAAAGAGTAAAGTTTAATAAAAACTGTTTATTGTTTTTTGTTTTTTCAGAGCTTTTAGTGGATTTAAAACCTACCTGTTTACATATAAGCCAATGTGGGGTTGTGCAATTATGGTTGGTCCTTCATTGACCGTCTTCATTTTCAAGAGTGCACTTTGTAAGTTGTTTAGAGCCTCCAGGACAGTATCAGAGGTGTTTTGCTGTAAAAGAAACATTTCACAATATCTAATTCATACAGTGGTTGATTTGGTAAAAAAATACAGACAACACTGAAGAAAGTATCCGGACTGGATGATGCCATCTGTAATCATTGCATAAAGAACTGATCAATGAAATGATGAATGTAGTCACTTAAGTGTATGTATTAAAAATGCCAGATCTTCCTTTGAGATGTAAATTCCAACAGCAAAGGCTTAGAAGTTGGTGACTCACATCCGAAGAATACTTTAAGATGTTGCTCAGGCCTTCCATAATGATGATGGCTGCAGTGATCACTTCTTCCTCATCGGATGAGTTCACATTCATGTGTACAATAGACAAACTGAGGTTTGAAAACAATTTGGAGGCAGAAACCTGAAGGAGGGAACAAACTCACAGTCAAAGCAGCGATCCAGAAATTATTTAAAGAGACTCCGACATGGTCTGATATTTGTGTGAGATCAAAATGCAGTTAATTACCTGATCAGACTCCCTCAGTTCATTGCCTTTCTCGGTTAGAGCAGTGAGTCCTCTGGCTAACACCTGAGTCTCCTGGGGGGTGCTAGTAGGAACTTTATTTACTGTGTCAATCATTATGTCCAACATTTGTTCTCTGAGCTTTTAGAAGAGAAAATTCTATATTTAGTGAATTATTTTAGCTGTCACAAGGACATATTATTGTAAAAAATGCAGGCAGATGTTTTAGTTTTGCTTTTTAAGGAAAAGCTGCAAAGCTGCAGTCCTGTTGGTAAGCAAACCTGCAAATCCCTAACTCCATCAAAGAAAACTTCTCACGACAAAACAAAAATAACAACCAAACAGGTCACGAGTTTTAGCAATAACTTAAATTTAGCTTAGTCCAGACGAGTGCCCAAAGCTCATTAGTCAGGGAAACCTTCGAATAAACCATGTAGAACTTGTTGGTTGTCATAATTATTTTGTTTGAGAAAATAACAAAGCCAACGTATTGCAGAAAATAATATAAAAAGTAATAATTGGCATTAAAGGTGTGGTTCACTTTTTTAATCAATACATTTGTAGGAAGGAACACATTATAAATCATACTCTGGTGGAAAAAAGCTCCAGTTTGCCTGTTTCAAGGGCTAGAAGTGAGCCACATCAAAGTTGAGTTGAACATGACGCCTGAAACCCCCCCCCCCCACCCCCCCCCCCACCCCCACCCCACTGCCTCATGGAGTCCTATTTCCTGATATTTGGAAATCTTGCCTCGGATTGGCTAACAGCACTGCCACGCCTTTTGACAGCCAAAAAAACCTTATTACTCAGGCTTTTATTGATTCTGTTGATTTTTATCAATGTTAATTTAATGTAGCTTTGTATTTATGCTTCTAGGTCTCTGTTTTATTGCTTTCATGGTAAATTGTACTGATTTTACTTCTGCAAAGTTTTCTTTTTTGCTTTAACGCATTATAGGTTGATGATAGCCACTTTATGGAATCATTATGATTGTTTCATCACGTTGTGAAACAGGTTGTGATTAAAACTTTGAACGGTGCTATAGAAACTTACTTAAGGCAATGCGACTACCACTGACTCAGTTTGCTGTGCAGCATTTATTTTTATCTCCACAAATAACACAAGCCTGGAGGTGTGTTAATGCTAACAATTAGCTTCTGCTAATCGAGACATTCGCTGCCATTTCCTGGACAATAAAACAACAGCCTTCCTCGTCTCAAATCAATATGAGTGATCCCATGAATGTTAAGTCACAATGTGACGTAGATCTGTCAAACTTTTCAAATCATAGTATTTCACTGTATTTTCTATCAGATGCTAATGCAGGACATAGGTGTAGGAGACTGTTTTCATGTTCAGTCTGCATGAAAAACCCAGAATCAGAAGTAATAATAATTTATTTTTCTAGTGAACCACACCTTTAAGAGCTCATTGGATTAGATTAATTTCTTGATTAAAGTTCTTGAAGTTGAATTGAATTGAATTGATTCTTCACAAATTGGAGAAATGCAAACATCTTTGTGTGGACCTCACTTTTTGCCGGTCTTGCTGGTTTGATGCATCAGATAGGTTGTTCATAGTTGTGGCTACAGAGTTAATGAGTCCTCCTACAGTTGCTCCAGACAGCAGGCTGTCGTTCTTTAACTGGGCCACGACGCTGGACACTTCTGAGCTAAGACCACCAGATAAGCTTGAACTAGATGAAACCTGAAGTAAAAATGAAAAATCTTACAAAAGGGTGAAGAAAATGTAAACTTTAATTTTTTTTAACTTTTGGTGACTCATTTATTTGTTAAATAATGAGTTGATAAGTGAACTAAATATTGATTTTTGTTTTTCAGAAACCTGGCTGCAAAAGGAGGATTATGTTAGTATTACCAATTCACTTCCTTCAAATAATCTACGTTTTGTCTGAGAAGAAACGTCATTAATCCAGCCTTTCCACAGTATGTGTAAGCGGCATGTAACATAATGGCCTCATTTATAGATGAGTTCTTTTCCTACTGGAAGAATTTCAGACGCGTGACCGCAGCGAAAGGTTTGGTGCATAGACATGAATACGTAGAGTCCTCGTTGGGCACTGGAGAATGTAACAGTGCTGCTGCCATATTGGATAAGTTCCTCACTCTCCAAACCCAACTGGAGTCAATGCAGAGCAAGCAACTATGCAGTTTTTTGTACAACCTATGGTTGCAACAACCAAAAATGGATCGTGTGGGATTATTGACCTTTTTAGCCTTCTTGATGGGATTTCATTCTTTAATTTATTTTACTATTTTAAGATTATAACTAATATGCCATGCCATATGTTTGACTTTGTGAAAAATATTACATTTGCTTTTTAGTTGGGTAAACGCCTTCCTTCTTAGAAATAAAACCAATGGGGGTTAATGGAGACCCATTCAAGATGGTGCCTGGCAAATATGGCAGCTCCAATAGGCAGAACCAGTCCACAAGCATCTACATATGATGTCTGCAGTTGCGCACAGATGGTCCCGTGGGGGTCACAAAATCACTGGAGAAATATAAAGCGTGAATCCAGCAGTTAACATGCTAACAAGCACAATTTATTGTGACCTAAAATATTACAGCCAAACTTAATTTAGTGCAAATAGCTGGCTTGAACTGGATCTGAAATTAATTGGACAGGATTTAAGCTTTGCTCTATATTAATCATTTTCTTCACTTAGGTTTTTGTTTGGCATACCTGTACAGTTAAGGTGGTGCTGGCTGAGTATTTGCCAGCATTTGCAGTTGCTGTTATAAGAAGATTGTCACCACGAGGAAGGAATACAGCCTTCACAACATTGTTTTTACTGCAGAGCAGGTTCTTGTCTGAAAGTTTAAACAGATTATAATATTTCAGATTTAAAAAGAAAAATAATGCATGCACATTTGGAAGTACCTACCCCCAGTTTTAAAACAATACAGACAATGAGGACAAGACAATTTAGTTGTGCAATCTATCCGGAAAGGAACAACGATTGTTCCGGTCAGTGGTGATATGACGCAAGATAGACCGTTTGAACTTTGAGTGGTTGGTTTAGATGTTGTCCGCGTAGTTGAAGTTAGTGGGCGTTTTGTGGTTGTAGTTGGACGTGAAGATGTCTTTATAACATAGGTTTGATATAGTAGTTGATTCGACCCTTTTGAGAGAGAAAGAAATGTCATTTGTTTAAATATTACTTATTTATAAAAGGTATATAAAAATCTGTCTATTTTCAGCCAACAATTGATAATATATCAGAAAATTATACAAAACTTTAATACTCACTAGCATAAGTTACCACAACAGTGACATTCCTGTTCTTGGACATGGCAACTGAAATGTCTTTTTTATCCACTTTGTAATTGTTTTCACCATTTTGAGAATTAGTCAGAGGGACTTTCTGAGCATTCTTGTAGCAGTGTTTTGTTGCAGGCTGAAAAGAAAAACACGCATATCTGTTGAGTTGGTTATGTTCTGTGTTAAGTTATAAACAGCTCAGACATAACATCTGTAATGGATATAACCCGAAGACTCAGAAATTCAGCCAAGACAGCAGTTAAACGATTAAAGATTATATTTATTTTAGAATGTGGGGGAATACGGGAAGCGTAGAAAGTTCTGAAAAATATTGCTGGAGTTTCTACTGGCACAAGGCTGTCGATCATCTGGCAGGGAGACAGAGCCTGAGGCCTAGTCCACACGTAGCCGGGTTTTTTTAAAAAACGAATATCTGCCCCTCCAAAAACTTGCATCCACACCACCTCGTTTTTAAAAAAACTGTCCACACGTACCCGGATAAATACGTTGTTAAGGACATGCCAGACCTGTAGGGGGCAGTACTTCCCCCGTTCTTAACCTCGTCCTTCGTCTGTGGTCTTCCGCAAGGAGCAGTAATTCCGCTTGCAAAAGCAAACAAGCAAAAAGCGCTTGGACAATTGATAAAGCGAGTGCAGCTCTGAGGGCATCCATGCTGTCGGCTAGTGTAAACACAGGTCGCACACGTGATGTCAGCATTTTTTGTCGCGGAAAGTGACGTTGCAGACCTTAAAACTCCGGTTTTGTCTGTCCACACGCAGACACCCAAAACGGAGAAAACGCAGATCTTCACTTTGGCCGGAGTTTTAAAAAAGATCCGTTTTCGTGTGAAAAAACTCAGTTTTCGTGTGGATGACAGGCCAAAACGTAGAAAAATATCTACGTTTTGGCAGATCCCCAGCAACGTGTGGACAGGGCCTGAGCTTTGCTTAAAAAGAGTAGCGCACAGGTGCAGCAGGGAGACAGTCAGGCAGGGCTCAGGTGAACTGTGTGAAGCTGATTAGTAACAGGAGGACTGGCAGAAGGAAAAGAAAACAAACATGACAGGCATGGCTGAACAACATGGAATCGTTACAACATCAAAGACTTACATCCCATTGGCTTTCCCCACTTAAGACCTCCATGTACCAAATGATGTTTGTACAAGAGCCTGAGTTACAGTTCAGGATAATTGTTGCATCCTGTTGTCCGTTTCCTTGATTACAGCCACCATGGCAAGAAAGACTATTAAAAAAATGAATAAAAATTTTTAAATATATGAATAATAAACTTTTGTCTCCAACAAAAAATACAACTTTTAAAGAAAAATAAAAAATTTATTGGACCCTGATGTAAGATGTTAAGGTAGTTATTTTGATGACCTGGATAAATGTCAGATAGAAACATTTTCTTTCAAAAAGCAGCATTTTATGGCGATAAATACGCAGACCACATGGAGTTACAAATTATGGAAACATCAAATCAAACACTCAAAATTATGCTCACATCCTCCCAAGGTTGTCACACAACCGTGACATCACAACTGACGACATCAGTTCTGCAGGATGTAATATGCTACGTTAATATGCCCTTTTTGTTTTGATTAAAACATGTAAAAGTGAAATGATCGTCACTGAAGAATTAGATATTTGAGCCTTTGTTACTCATGTTTTTTAAAACTATATTTTTAAAAAATAGGTTGATATCAAAAATACGTTTAAAGAAATCTGACCAAATGTTTTTTGCAAGATTGTTTGTACACGTTTGTCAGTTTTCTCTAAAACAAAAATATATCACTCTGCACATACAGTTTTGTGTTTGCCAAAGTGTAATAAATACTTTTTGGAAATATTAGCAATTTTTATGTAAATTTTTTTCTACATACCTTACTGTATTTGATGTATCCAAGTTGGGATTCACGGTAACACATATTGTATTTGTTTCCGAGTTCTGCCCGTTCCCCTTCAACGTCAAAGAATACAAGTCAAAGTGAAATGGATCTGGCAGGCAACTTGCATCAATGACTCGCTCTGGATCTGAAGATCGGCCATTACAGTTACCATTGTTACCGCTGTTGCCAGTGTTTCCGTTGTTGCCGCTGTTGCCACTGTTGCCATTGTTACCGCTGTTACCAGTGTTTCCTCTGTTACCATTGTTACCGATGTTACCATTGTTACCGATGTTGCCAGTGTTTCCGTTGTTGCCGCTGTTGCCACTGTTACCATTGTTACCGCTGTTGCCAGTGTTTCCGTTGTTGCCAGTGTTGCCACTGTTGCCATTGTTACCGCTGTTACCAGTGTTTCCGCTGTTACCATTGTTGCCGCTGTTACCATTGTTGCCGCTGTTACCATTGTTGCCGCTGTTGCCACTGTTACCATCGTTACTGCTGTTACCAATGTTTCCTCTGTTGCCACTGTTGCCACTGTTACCAGTGTTTCTGCTGTTGCCACTGCCACCCCTGTCTTGGAATAATCACAGAGTTATGCTTAAACTTACAAATAAAATTCCATCTGTGTGCACGTCTTGTAGCTATTTTTTAAATTAATATTCATATTACATTTTGGAAATGACCAGAAAATTATGAACGTAAAAGTGAGATTGGAGCAAATAATTTTGTTTTCTTATGTGTTAAAGCATTTGAGTTAATGTATTACATTACTTTAATGCAAATCAGCTGAGAGTTCAAAATAAATAGAAATGTTTGAATGACATATTTTATTTACTCTGAAATAATTTATGTTAAAATCTCCTGGGTATTAAGAGTCAAATACAAATATTTACATGTCATTCATTTACAAAAGTCAACACAGAAGTTCAGTTGTAAAAAAATAAACTTCAATTACCAGTTTCTCCAGTTATTAAATTACAATTAACATCACCCAAGGTCAAAGTTCAGCACCTTTTCTTTAGCATGCAATTGATCAGAGTTCAAATTTTCAGTGAAACTTTGGTGTTTAGCATTTCACGTTTAATGTGTGCTGCAAATTTGCACTGCAAGTCTGATGCTTTAAAGGTGTGGAACACTGAAAAAACATTTTTGTTTATTATTTCTGATTTTAATGAAAATAGTTTCCTGCAGTGGTGCAGTGGTTAGAGCTGTTGCCTTGCAGCAAGAAGGTCCTGGGTTCGCTTCCCAGTCTGGGATCTTTCTGCATGGAGTTTGCATGTTCTCCCTGTGCATGCGTGGGTTCTCTCCGGGTACTCCGGCTTCCTCCCACAGTCCAAAAACATGACTGTTAGGTTAATTGGTCTGTCTAAATTGTCCTTAGGTGTGAGAGTGTGTGTGTGTGTGTGTGTGTGTGTGTGTGTGTGTGTGTGTGTGTGTGTGTGTGTGCATGATTGTTTGTCTTGTGTGTCTCTGTGTTGCCCTGCGATGGACTGGCTCTCTGTCCAGGATGTACCACGCCTGATTGCCCATTGACCGCTAGAGATTGGCACCAACCCCCCCACGACCCTACGTGGACAAAGCGGGTTCAGACAATAGATGGATGGATAGTCTCCTGCCCCCATCTCCTGCATTAGTTTGTTGGACAATAGACGGCGAAATGCTAGGATTTGTAAGGCCTGACACATCTATTGGCGCTTCCAAGTCAGGACCAGAATGGACCGGAGTGGGTAGCTTTTAACGTGTGTTTATCTAGGTGGCCTTGTATTTTTCCATGCTCAACCAGACGGTTTTTTGGCTCACATACCATGGAGGTCTGCTTTGAAGCTGACCCGGTCCAACACACCCACTTCCAACTGATTGGCTGGCTCAAATACACACCTACCATTAGAAGGAGCCTCCGAATGGTGGATAGAATCAAGAAGCGGGAGCTTCCTGCATGCTCGATTCCTTATCATTCTGGATACTGAGAAGTCAATGTCACCTCTGACTGAAGCTGCGTCTCTCCCCACTGCTGTGAGGAATGTGTGCGTCAGCATGCGCACACACATGCATATGCATGTGTCTCTCCTGCCCACTGCCGTGAGCTTTTTGCTTTCACATCTTTCACTACATTCAGCTAATTTGCCAGTTTAGCTTAGTTTCAGCTTCACTTAAGCTATTCAACAACTTCGGCAATCAGTTACCAATTTTAGCATAAGCTGCTAATTTCACAGTTTAGCTAAATGTAAAGAATAAACTGTTAAACTTGTCCAACTGAAATAACACGTGTTTAGACATTTTAGCTGCCCAGATTGTTATACAATGTTGTACAGATTTCAGTTTTTTGCTATTTAGGATTATTTTTCTCCATTCGTCACTTACTTTTTGTGCTTCATTTGCTTGTTGGTGATTTTTGCTTCTACATTTCAACACATTCAGCTCATGTTGACAGTTTTGCTTACTTTCAGCTTCAGTTCAGCTATTAAGCTGATTCAGCTAACAGTTTAAGCTATCCAGCATTCAAACAGCATTTCTGCAAGAAATGCTATTTATATAGTTATTAACAAATTTAAAGCATTTAAACTTAATTGTACATAACTTAACTAAACAAATGAAAATGTTACGAGACTTACCAACTCCCCAGTCATATGTTATACTGCCAGCTAGTTGGCCATCTACTGAAAGTGTGATGGGTGTATTTTTGGAGTTTACAGAATTCGAAGGCACTGCTTTGATGGACCATGTAGACCTCACAACTCTCACATGTCCTTTCCTCTGAAATTAGACACAATATTAATAATTATTGTAAAAACACAAGAAAAATGAGGAAAATACACTGATTGGTAGTGTTTACAGTCAGAATGCTGTCTAGTGAATTACCGTTTTAGGCAAATTTTCATTAACACCATTTAGTTTAATGACGGAGTCCTCATCACGGGAGGCAAAAACATGGACCTCCTGAGAGGAGAAAGCATTCCAGGCTTTGATCTTCACTTGCGTCGACCCTGTGAATCAAATCATAAAAAGATTGATAATCTTGACATTTACGTTATATTTAAAGTTTTTGTGTGTAAATCAAGTTAAATACCTTTAAGTGAGAGTTTAATATGAAAACTCTCCCTCTTTGAGTTCATTTCCCTGATTTCAGAAAACGAGTGACCGTCTCCAGTCATGGAGAAGAGGAGTAGCACCAGTTCTCCTCGGTTGAGGGAAACATCAATGGTAAAACACGGAGGACCTGAACAGACACCTCTCTTTCGCAGTATGGAGGCCTGGAGCCCAGATATCTTCTCCAAAATGCAAACCTGTAGAATATAGTCCATTAAACAGACTCTTCACGGTCACGTTTTATCTCTAGTACGTCTAGAACAGGACAGGCTTGTGTTTATTCATTTGGCAGACGCTTTCATCCAACACGACGTACAATTTTTAACCTATAGGGCATGTTGTGATCTGTGGGGGAAACCGGAGTACCCGGAGGAAACACACGCATGCATGGGGAGTTTTGAACTTGCAACCTTCTTTCTGCGAGGCAACAGTGCCAGCACCTGCGCCATCATGCAGCCCGCTGATTATCAAACACAAACATGGCTACTTGTCTTAAAAGTTAGTTATTCATTTAGCAAAATTAATCACTTGCTTGTAAACATTTTGATTCCAAAATGTTTTGAATGAGCTGTCATGGAGAAAAGTGGGAAGACTGAACCATAGATGTGTGACAGTCATAAATTTAGACAAGTTGCATGTTAACTTTGTGTTCCAGAGTTTAATTTGCACTGAAGGGGCTGATGGAAACCCCCAGGACTCAAATACAAAAGTCTTTAAACCAGAAAGTATATTAAAAAATTATGTGTTTAATGAGTTTCTGTGTTTGCAAATTTGCCACCACCAGTCTCATCTGATTTGATAATTAAAGGTTCAGTATAATTCTCAATGCCTCAATCATTTCTTTAATCAAATAATCACAGAGAATTATTGCACAAACATGCAGAACTTTGCATGATGTCGTTTGATTTTTGGTTTCCCGTCTGTTCACCTGCAGGTTTGTGGATCCTTCTGGAAAAGTGACCCCGTTAGAAGCATAAAGAGTCAGAAGGTGGCAGCCGGGCCCGAGTTGTTTTACTGATTCTGGATTCAATGTGATGTTCCGAGGAACATTTCCTCTGAGCACAGATAAGCCACCCAGCAGCCTTTCCTCAGCTTCACTTGTATAGACCACATTAGTTCCTGGAAATGGAACAAATTCACACATGCTGAAAAGGTTGAAAATAAAACATACAAAAGGAAAAATGTCTAATATAAATATCAAAATGTATATATTACATTACGGCCACCTTGGTGCATACCTGCTTTTGCTTCCATTTGAATTTGAAATGCTTCTCCATTCAGAGCTCTGTAGTTGGTATAGGGGAAAGACACGTTTCCAGCAAAGCACCTGATGACACCAATCTGCGCAACTGGTGTTTGAATGGCAATTATCTTCTGAGTCGTAACGTGTTTTTCACCATTGGTGCATTTAGCCACCACGACAAATGGACCAGGATGAGTGTAAGTGTGTACCACGCTTCTCTCAGTCCTGAGAAAACCCACATATAGGGACAAATGAGTACGTTGAATGTAGATGTTCAGTAAACATGAATTTACAACTTGTATCATAGAATTAAAAAAAAGATTTATTTTTGAGGATGCAAGTCAAATGTACTTTGAAAATTTAGGTAAAAATAAATTAATTTTCCTGAAGCCGGGGCCACACTGTGAGACAAATCCCTTGTCATGAACAGACTTGTGACATAAAACAACATGATGGTGATTTGCAAATCTGTGGTCATCCAGTGCGACCGGCTCTGCGACAGCTTATTGAGCACTCTCACAACCAAAGTCAGCCTCCATCAGTCTATCTGCTTAAAAACCTACTACTCCCATCTGCAATCAAATCATGAAAATACATGCAGGGATTGATGTGCTAGTCCACCGGCGAATCAATGCTGGAGGACTAGCACAGCAGCTAGTGATGATAGTGCAACACAAGAGTAGAATTAGCATCATTAGCAACAGTGGAAGCTACATGTGGACCACTCCTTTTTGGTGTTCAGGTTCGGAGACTAATAAAAGAGGTGTTAACGGTACTTTTGCTCTTTTAAGAGTTGTTATTTTGGTTAGCTGCTGGCAATTGGTGCAGTCTGGCTCACTGAATTTTTGTGTCGTACAGTGTGCCACCTCTCTGGAGTCCTCACAGTGCGGCATGAGCAGTCCAGTGCAACAATTGAAAAACGCACAATGTGGTTCAGACTTTATTGGCTGACTCAGATTCTCCCTCTAAATATAAACAAAAGGGACACGTCTTGTATTAAACATTTATGTATGTCAGATACCTTTTCCAAATGTTGATGTAGTTGATTCTTTCTTTGCAGTTGCATGTAATTAATCATTTGTGTGAAAAGCTGGAATCTGGTTCCAGGATGCAGCGTAACATCTGTTAGCCAGATAAAGCAAATGCTTTTCTCCTAATCTCTTTCTTACAACAATGGCCCCAAATTTATATGAAAAGAATTCAGAAAATCTCAGTTTGAGTGAAAAAATTGTATTTCAGCCCTTTTGTAAAGGGCACTCAGTGCTACTTTTGTAGGCTTTTGGGCAGAGCAGTGGACTCGAGTCACATGACTTGGAGTCGAGTAATTATTTTAATGACTTCTGACTTGACTTGATACAATGACTTGACTCGGACTTGAACGCCAACAACTTGCGACTTGAATCGACTTGCATCTGTTGACTTGATGACAACTTGTGCAAATTAGATATTTTAGCACAAAAGTGGCACGACATGGACAAAAATCATAAATCATTCTTTGTTCTGGGTTTGATCTTGTACTGCTAAATGCAGCAGCACTTTGTTTATAATCAATTTCAGTTGCTGTGTTTGAGCAAATAAATGAAGCTTGCTTTATTTCTGGAATTTATCATCATTGTCATTAAATTGAAGTTGGACACATGACCTGATTATGACTTGAAAATTCAAAGTTAACGACTTGGACTTGACTTGGACTTCCACATCATTGACTTTAGACTCGACTTGAACTTTGTTTTCTTTGACTTGGACTTAACTCATCAGTCCAGTCTGCAATCGCACTGCTGAGGACATCCATTTACCAAGATCCACACCAATTGGATGTCTTATTAGCACAGTCGTGATGGGAATTCCGGCTCTTTTTAGAGAGCCGGTTCTTTTGGCTCAGCTCACTAAAAAGAGCCGACTCTTTCGGCTCCCAAGTGGCTCCTCAGATTTTCTGTTGCGTAGAGTACATTTATAACCAACATAATTTAAAACTATGTAAAATTATTTACTAATGTAAATGTAAGGCAGTGACTGGAATAAGTCACAAGGTGTCGCTGTTGAGCTGGATATATATTGTAGATTTTAGCAATTTTGACCATTTGTCCTCTGCAGGACACCGTAGTTCAGTTTTATCGTTCGCGCGGGCGCCATTTTGGGTTCAGTGTTTACTGTGATTTGTAAAGGTAAGCACTATCTGTGGTGTACTGCAATGGTTTTGTTTAAAATAAGTGTTCCACTGTGTAAAATGGCGGTTTGCTAAGCATATAGTGTGTTTGTTGGGAGGTTCATGTGTTGTCTGATGACAGTATGAGTAGTTTGTGTGCACGTTTCGTTCTGTAATATAAGCGGCAATTTTGGGTTACATCCCCGCTAGTTAGCATAACCCCATTTGGGCAAAGTAATGCATTAGCTGTTCAGTTACGGTTTGCTGATAATCCTGCAACCTGTGTTTTGGGTCATACTCATTTCTGAGACCAAAGAATTGTGTAAAGATGCCTTGACTACATGATTATTTCTTGTTTAATGTGTTTTATTTTATATTTGTTGTTGGCTTACGCTGTGATTTGATAATGATGCAGTGTTTACTGTGATTTGTAAAGGCCAGCAGCGGAGTTGGAGTGGTGTTTGCCCCATCATCTAAATAAAGAAAAAGACGGCGCGGTCCGAGCCACAAATTGAACGCCTGTGTCCGACTGGTCTCTCTGTTGTGCACCCCCATCCAACACAAAATTACACAACGCAGAGTCCGGGGTGTAGGGAGGCCCCTGCACGGGTTGGGTTACATCTTTGGTGCCGTGACCCGGATTTGTGGCCCCTCGAGACCGAAGAGAAACCAAGGCCGTCACCCCCCCAGCTACGTCGCTACAGTAAGAGGTGTTGCCACTTGATGGGGTACTGAACTATGTTATAACTGCCTGTGCAGCTGTATTACTGGGACTTTCACCTCCTTTGAAAGTGTAATCTTGGGGCGGTTTTACTTGAGGGTTTTTGGTCATAGAAAAAAAAACTCAGAGACTTGAATTGAAGCAAGGATGTTAAATGATATTCCCTGTCTATAATGACAATCATTGAATATGGTTAAGCACTTGCTGCTAATTTGTGTCATTTACAACCTCGGGGCTGAATATAGTTGTTTAACTGCACTCTGAGTTTGATGCTGTTTTTCTGTGTGAATTATTATTATTATTTTTTTTTTGCGTTATGAGATGATAGTTGTCATACATCTGTGTTGTGTTCTATTTTACTAGAAATATATTGTACTTGTTCCCAGTGAAGCCTATTACAAGTAACCCACACTTAATTTCCTGTGCAGCTAAATTAGAGATACAGGACAGTAAAAATGATGAGGGACTATGCAGACACTCCAAAGAGGGATCAGCCTCACTTTTTGAACGAAGGGGCAACAGCTAGCACCAGTACAGTGGACCAACAGGCATCAGTGAAGTCGAAGCTGGTCACCCAGTTCCCCAGTTTCACTGGCCAGCGGTTACAGCACCACACCCCAATCAGGGACCTCACCGACTCTGGGCCGACCACACAACAGACCCCACCACCACCCATGCTTTCACCTCAGACTGATAGTGGTGTGGCTCCGGCTCGTGCGCCACCACTGCCCGGCTATGGAGGCCAAATGCAGGTGCCCCCACACCCATCTGAAATTCGCCCATGGTCAGTGCCAACCAATCAGACAAGCCAGTCCAACCACAGCCCCATAACTACAGCCCCTCCAGTGTTGCAGCCAGATGTACAGATAACCATGCCCCCTGCATTTTCCCCTCAGCACAGTGGCCATGGTCCCACTGCTACACCGGCTCCCCATGTTGCCTCATATCCCAACTACCCAATGATGACTGTCCCATTCAGCTCCCAAGCATACACCAGCCATCTGTATTCCACACCGGCCCCCCAAGCCACCATGCCAAGCCCCCTAACACTGCAGGCATTGGGCTTAATGAACAATCCCTCTGCAGCCAAGCTGAACCTTGAAAGTTCAAAGCATGGGCGGACCCCCTGTGTGCCCCATATGCCACTAGCTGCTGTACACGGCACTCAAGCTCCCCTCCCCTCACCTGCTGTAAGCCCCGACACTGTCATGCCCCCTATCGTGAACATGACCCAGGGAGGTTTTATAGCTCCACCCGGCACCCATGCCTCAATGCACGTACCACCCACTGCTTCAGACCCCCAAGTTAGTGGACACCCTGGCATACCCCCCCCAGCAGGTACATACTTCGTTAAGTACTCCTGGCGGGGCTGCAGCCAACGTTTACTCCCCACTAGCTGCCTACGGTGGTTTTATACAGACTCACCAAGTGAAAAATGTCCAAGTCTTCACCGGCAGTGCTGACAGTAAGGTGCTCGTAGAAGACTGGATTCGTGACATGCAGTATCTTCTTGAGGCAATAGAGCTCCCCGTCCACCTCCGCTTTTCCACGGTGGTGCGTCACCTAACTGGTGAAGCCCGAAAGCTGGTTTTGAATCTACCTCTCCATGACCAAACACCCGAAAGAGCATTTGAAGATCTGAGAGCAGAGTACGGCGACACACAGAGCTCCTCAGATCTGCTAGCTGACTTCTATGAGCGTGTTCAGAGGTCAGGGGAGTCTGCCTGCTCATATGCTATAGCACTGGAGGCAACACTGCGAGCCGTGGAGGAAAACCAAAGAGGAGGCAAGCCTTTCCCTGACCGTGACAGTAAACTCACCCGACAGTTCATACGGGGAATTAATGATGAGGATGTATATGCGAGAATCTCGCCGATGAAGCCCCGGCTTTTGAGTTTCCGTGAGCTGCAGACTGAGCTTCGAAATTTAGCAAAAGAAACTAAGAGATTCCAGCCTCAAAACAAGTCAAAGAAGACTTATGCTCAGGTACAAGTGGCATCGGAGTGTAGTATGAATGGGAAGGCAGAGAAGGCCAAACATTCCTCAGAGTGGTCTGAGCTAGCGGAGATGGTCAAGAAATTAGCATTGAGCCAGGAGGAGCAGATGGCCAAGTTGACCCACCTTGAATCGAGAATTAATGCTCCATCCTCTGCCACTCGACTGAGAGTCCGACCACCTCCTGGGGCTACAACACCAACACCGGTGGTCACATGCTACCGGTGTGGGAAGCAAGGACATATAGCACGGGTTTGCAGAGCAGTGCTCCCAGAGCCTGACCAGACATGGCCACATGATCCTCAGCCGGTGACTCCCATGGAGGGAAACACTTACTCAGCTCAGCCTTTAAACAAATAAAGC